TATATCAAGTAGATAAAAAATATTAAATAAATAAAAATATATAAAAAAGTATTAATATTATATTTTTTATATAAATTCTGATATTTAAGTGATTGATAATTTAAATAATTATTAAAAATAAAAAGATATTGAAAATTTTTAATTTTTAACTTTTTATATTAATTAAAGTTTTTAAATATTCAATATTAAATTAATTTATAATTTAATTATTATTACTTATAAAATAATTTAATTAAATAATATATTGATATTTTTATATTAGATTTAAAAATAATATTAATTTATAAAAATAATAAATAATAAAATTAATTAAATTAATATAAATTTATTATATCTTTATGAGTCTTAAATAATTAATTAAATTTTAATAATTAAATTTTATTATAAAATTTATTTTATTAAAGTTATATATATTATTATTAATAATATTATACTTAATTTTTATAAATTATAAAAGTTTATATAATTTTTTAATAATTATAAAATTATTATTTTTAACTCTCTAAAAGTTACTATGATTTAAATATATTATAATATATAATAAAAATAAAAAATTAATTAATATCAATATTATATTGAATATGATTATAAAAATTTTGATTTATTATTCTTCTTCTATTATAAAAAAAGAGAAAATTTTTATAAAGTTAAATTTAATATATATTTAATAATGATAAATTCTTCTAGATTTAAAAATCATTTTATATTTAAAATACAATTTTATCTGATATGTTTTTTAGTACATCTTTATATAAAAATTTTAGAATTCATATCACAGACTTTTACTACAGTTTGATTGCTCTGAAATTAATTTTATTCAATAGTCAATCTTGCAATTTATAATTTAGATTCTTTTTTAGCTAACTAGCTTATAACTATGTGACATAATTGAATTTACATGAATAATTGCATTTTAAACTAAGTTGTCACTCTCATCTATATGCCACTTTCACCCATGGATTACGTTACAAAGTATATAAACAAAGATTAAAGATGTGGTATTTTAATTGGTGCCTGCTAGATTAAACTCTATCACGTGAGTGGCTCAGAATGTGGTGTGTCTCAGGCGAAAGTGAATTGGTTGTAAAGGCTGGGTGAAATCCGCAGATATTGTTAAAAGCAAGGTTTTGAAAGAACAGTGGTTTACTCACTTATTGAATTCTACACTATTTTCATCTGACATGTCGTTACCTATGTTTTGAGCTTTTAGAAAAGTATACTTATAGATTCTTGAGAATGTGAACACAAATGCCAGAGAAATTCAAACCTTCTTAAATAGTTGCAGATGTGTAATTATTAGGTCCAAAGATCCAAAAAGAATATCAAACTTTGAGGATTTTGTATTAAAAGATGTAAAAGAAGACTAGTAATATAAGAAGTTTTGAGATCAAGAGCATGAAGAGGAAATGCTTGTGGATATAATATGTTAGGAATCCAAAACACAATTTGCCAACAAGGGACAGTTCGAAATCAATGAAAGATGAAATCAACAAAATGTTCTCACGCTTGCTAGCAAATCCATATGCATAGAAAAAAAGATGGTTCCTTTTATGAATAAGTTTGCGATATGAAAGGGAGCTGGTCTCGCATAATGGAAGAAAAGTAGCGAAGTAGTGCAAGGAAAATTGGTTACGAATACCCGCAATTAATTGAGCATTGCCCAACAAATTTGCAAAAGTACATAGAGTATTCGAATGACCTTCAAAGACCGGTGAAGAATCGACTAGCCCATTCAAGCTCCGGATCACCGTTCGCAAAATCCCATCCCACAATCTTGTGATCTAAACTAGCACATACAAGTTGCCGCGCGTCAAATTGTAGTTTGAAAACTCTGGCGGTTGGGTGGGCTGCGGGACGGGGTAAGGGCACATTGGCACCGAGTATCTGGGCTTGAACTGGCTGAAGTGCTGGGGGAGCCTCTTGAGTGACTGCATCAACCGCCGGGTCCACGGGATTCGGTACGTTATTATTTGCTGTATTTTCGGGCTGCATTGCTCCTGGTGCAAGAGGGTCTTGTTGCGAAGTTTGGGGCTCTGGTTGCTCTGCAACGGAAGGCTGAAGAGATTGACCAGGGAACGGAGAAATTGGTTGACTGGCCAGGGCGCTTTGATCTTGAGAGCTGATTGCCGCTGCTGCTCTCGCTGCTTCATCCTGGCGAAGTCTTTGCCCAATTACCCATTTACCTTCCAGATCTTTCTTCCATATAACTATGGTTTCGTCGTAAGAGCCGGATACAATGCGTCCCCAGGTGCTTCCGCCGCCGCCAGGAGGAATTTTAGCTCCCAGAGCAATAATGTCGCTTGGACTCTTGGAACCTGCGATTGTAGCCATTCGCGACCTTCGTTCGCGACGGTTTGCTGAGCTTGATTCAGGAATATCGCCACGTAGTTGAGCCTCCCAATATTGAGTGTCTACCGCCATAGCTTCGAGTCGCAATGTCTCTTCTGCCCCGGGAGGATCTCCAAAACCTGCTTGAACTGTCCGCACGAGACCATGGTGTCCATGCAAGCAAGCAACTTCAGCCCCCGAGGCGTGGTCATATATTCGTATGGTATTATCATTACTACCGCTGACAATTCGTCGACTATCGAATTGTACGCACGCAATGCCTTTCTTGTGGCCGATTAGAGTCTTCCGACAGATCCCATTACGTATATCCCATACTTTGATTAAACGATCCCCCGAGGCAGACACAATTTCATTCTCGTCGATCTGAATGGCGTTCACGGCAGCTCCATGGCCTTCAAGGGTCATAAGTAAGGAGTAAGGTGATAGAACCTTGACCAGTCGATTTGCGATTTGGGTTTCCAACACACTAGGAGATATCAAAGAGGTATCGACGATGTAGGACGGATATCTCGCACTGGCGCCTTTGAACAAGGAGGGATAATTTTTATCCGTTGGCGATAGTTCCCGTCTGTTCCAAACTTTTATTGATTTGTCCTTTGAACAGGTCACCAAAAATCGATTATCGAAGCGCAAGTTTAATACTGAGTCATCATGCGCATTGGCAAGCTCTTGAACCATTTCTCCCGTAGAAAAACGCCATATTATGACGCTCTTGTCGCTGCTTCCAGATATAATGACATCCTCTTGTGGGCTAGGGTCAAATTGGAGACAGAGAACGGACTTGCTGTGCCCCATCAAGGGGCTCCCTCTAAGCGTCCTTGTTTCCAGATTCCAGACTCTTATTGTCCTGTCACGACTGCCACTCACAAGCCATTTACCAGAAAACTGGAGAGTATATACGCATTCTGTATGCGCCTGTGAGGGATAGGATGGGTGTGGCAGCTGGAAATTGGTATAGCGTCCCTTCCTCCAGTTGTCTTCTAGTTTTCGTCGTAGCCTGTATAGATATGGCCAATTTAGTCTAGATGTACCATTGATGTTCTTCATGAGTTGTGGAGGCACCATGGGGGAAATGTTGTCTGCTGGAGACGATTGAAATGAATGATACTTCGCAGAGTTGTTAGTCTGGCTAGACTTTCGGCTGTGGGGCAAACCGCGAAGTTCCAGAGATTGGCGAGGGTGGCTTTGTTCTGACGAAGAGCTAACCGAGTTGTCATCATGGCTAGCATCACGCATCTCGTGGTCGCCTTCCGCATCAGCGAAGACACTAATGTCCGATGTAGAAATCCCATCAGCTTCGACCGTTCCATGCTGCTCATTCCATGGGGGGCTTGCATCTTCCATACTGTCGTTTTCAATTCGGGAATTTCTCTTCGAATCGATCCACCCTGGTGGAACACGTCGCTTTAGCTTTGGCTGCCCCTTATCTGTATCCAAACGCCTCGTTCTTGACTTCCGGTTGTGTGAAAAGACTGGCTTGGAGAGGGTTTGCTCGAAATTTCGAATCGCCTCCATGTCGAAGCGCCATCCTTCTTGAGTATAGAGATGCCTCCATAGCTGGGAATCTATAATTCTCTCTCTCCACGATTTCGATGCAAGTGAAGCAGTAAGCAGCGTGGAAGTGTCAAGATATGAGAATATTTCCGAGGTGATTTCGGGAGGAAGTTTGAGCACAGGATCCATGTGGAGGAAAGGAGTCAGTCGATCCACAACCGCAGCTATTGACGACGTGCGCAGGGTTCTCAATATGTTGAAAGCCAATTCTACACCCAATGTTGACATTAATAATCGCTGCAACAAGATAGCTAGTTAAAAAGAAAAGGACAAAGTCACCTGCTCTGTCAGTTTCGCTGAGTGCAAGCATCCAACTCGGGAGAACTTCGCCTTCGTCTGATGATTGAACTACCTCATTTTCTGCTTGTTGGCTTCTAGTTTCGTCCGAGTAACCTTCATCCAGCTTGAAAGATGCTAGGACGGATGGAGGAGCAAATTCTCCACGATATTTTGCAACTTGTTGTAGCCTTGGTGTCTGTACGGCGCCCGCTGTCACTGCGGCGTCACATTCCATGAGGGTGTCACTCTGGAGTTATGCTGAGATCTGATGAGGGGTAATGAAATATAGCAAATACGCGTAGTTATGTATGATTAAACGGTCAAGGTACGCTCAAGGTCCCAGTTCAGTATCAGAACGGAGTTCTGATACTGACAAATAACAACCTTACTTCGTCGTGTCTCGAGGCAAAACTTGTAAATGGGGAGGGAGTCTCCTGGTTGGTCCTGCAAAGTAGGAACAGAGAGCACAGGTACAAGCGAATTAATAGCTGAGATGTTTGTAATGGGTTGCCGGAGAATGTGTGAACAAAGGAAGGTTAATTGTAAGTATATATTAAAGAAGCAATGGGATTATTTCTTTGGCATGTTTCAGCAGAGCAAAACAGCTTCGCAGTGGACTAGTTGGTTTGATAGCGCACCCCACCATCCGAAGGCCGTATATACAGCTATATCCTGCGCAACGCAACCTGTCCTCCTCGTATAAAACAAAGAGTTGTGCCTGTAGTGAAGTCAAGTTGACTTGAACGACGCGAGAGGAGTAGCTAGTGATGTTTCGTTAATCCTATTGTAGTTAGTTGCTGTAACTATGTAGCTGTGCATTACGGTTCCTTGTCCCATGGAATTATCTCCGATGGTCGCGTGGGTGGAGTTGCAGCTGAGTCATCTGCTGTTGCAAGGAGTCGGGTCAGGTGATGTGCCATGATTGTTTTGGCACTAGTCCCGATTAGGTCCGGGCTCTCCGGTGGTTCCACCAGCTTAGTCATGGTACCTGTGCAGGCGGAGCCGCATGCCCGATCCAGCCGAACATGCTGAAAAGCGTTGACTCCTGAAACATGACTACACCATCCAACAACTTCAGGCCCATCTCTGGCGCCCTTGTCACTCTGCGTCTGCCATCCAGCCATCCACTCAATGCACCTATGCACTCTCGTCGGCAAATACGCCCTCGCTCTCCTGCTTTCCCCAGCACAGAACTTTCGGTTGTCGTGTGTGCTTTCGAGGTACGTCGCCCTTATCCTACCCCTCTCCCTCCTCCTATCCGCGACCATTTAGATCACCTCCAATCCAAGTCCAAGGTGCTTACAATCTTCCCAGAAACTCGCCCATCACTTAGATTATTCTCATCCTTTTCGTTTTAGTCGTTCCTGCTGAGATTGCTTCTTCTTTTTAGCGCCTTTTATGCGCCGCACCGTACAGGGCTACCCTGCCTATACTTGACCAATTCCCAAGAGCCGCATCTCTCAATCATACCGCGAAACTCAACAGAGAGATCGAAAGCACCCATCTCGAGCCCTTACTGGAATTCCTGTTGCCAATTAGCCACATATACCGTCTTATACGCTTGGTCCCGTAACTTGTTTTGGGATATAACCTACCTAGGTAGTTGCTCGACGACCCATGGTCTCGGTACCTGAAAAGGACCAGGAAATCTGGCCGGGAGAGTCAAAGTGAACCTGATTCGATTTGAAGTAACCGCATCGAGATATTTGCGTTGACCAGACAATATGGATCCCACCGCTGCTAATGGAGGCCCAGTTATGGCGGAGGATAATATCATCAATCGAAGAGGGGGGGAATCGTTATTCCAGAGCTGCGCAAGCCTGAAAAAGAGACTTGCTGAGGTCCCTGGTTTCGAGCCCCATCTTGCAGAAATGGCGGAGATGGACAGAACGGATGAGGCGATAGATCCTGTTGCATCTATATGGAGATGTCTGCGGCAAGGATATCCGCTAATGACAATCTTCAACGCCTCCAAGCCTGCAGAGCCCCTAACTATCGACACTGATAAAGTCCCAGAGGCAAGACGGCCAAAGGCAGCGGCTTTTAAGTTTCTCCAAGCTTGTTTGTTAGAGTTGGAGTTTCCCCAGCAGGAATGTTTCCTTATCACTGATCTTTATGGGGAAAACACAACGGGCTTTGTGAAGGTGGATATCCCCTCCCTCCTAAATAACTGGGATCTTTTTTTACTGCATTTTCGCTAACTTTTTGTGTAAGGTCATTAAAATGGTCAGCCGCGTTCTAGATATTCTTGAAATGCGTGGTCAGCTTTATCAACCTTCTGCAACAGCCGCCGGTCCAAACCAAGGTGAAAAGGTCAAGCTTACTCGGAAAGAGCATATTTTGAAAGAGATGCTGGAAACAGAACGAGATTATGTCCACCACCTTCAAAATTTGCAAGCGTTAAAAAAGGAATTGGAGGAAACTGGGGCTCTTAATGGCGATTCGAGCCATCAGATCTTTTTGAATCTTAATAACCTTCTTGACTTTGCTCAGCGATTTCTTATTCGTATGGAGCAACACAATGCCCTCCCTGAAGATACGCAGAACTGGGGGGATCTTTTTATCCAACACCAGGAAGGATTTCGCCAGTACGAACCTTTTATCGCCAATCAACTTCGATGCGATGTTGTTTGTGCAAAGGAATGGGATAAAATCAAGGCTGCGCCACGGTCTATTGACCTCCAACAAATGGTGGCACAGCAGTCCACTCTAAATGGATTTTTCGTCAAACCATTTCAACGTCTTACTAAGTATCCTATGATGCTCTCGGTAAGATTTAGTATGCTGGGTTACCATTATAACTTGCGGCCAGTCACTAAAATGTAACTTGTCTATAGGAACTGAGGAAGCAGACCGATCGCGAAGACCTTGTTGCCGACGTTTCCACTGCCATTGACATTGTTCAAGCGGTTTTAGACCAAGCAAACCGTGCAGTTGACAAAGAACACTTGGCCAACGCCGTTGCCGATCTCGCTTCTCGTGTTGATGATTGGAAAGCCCTTAAAGTTGATATATTTGGTGAACTGCTTCGGTTCGGCACTTTCACCGTGCTGAAGGGTGACGGAGGTAGAGATTCAGAAAGAGAGGTTCGTACGGCCCTTTCACAGTTTAATACCCAACATTGGCCCATTCGGTATCGCCGCCCTTCCCTACGTAGGCAATCTGTGAAAATCCGCATGTGTCTGTTAGGTGTCGATTCCCTGACACCCAATCAACCTTCCCTAACAAGGCTATCTGGATTCTATCCCTCTGGAACTCCTTCCCAGGACCCGTCCCCTAGATTATCTGAGTTTACGGTTTTCTCGAGGAAATCAAGCTTTTGCTCTACGACCTTGAAAGGATTTGGCCTTCCCCTGGTGGAGAAATCTCACCCACCTCTTGCATCTAGTGGACCTGGGCAATTAGAACACTTCCACCCACAATCCAACATTTCCATGGCAGATGATTTCCCGAGTCAGCCAGGGAGCACTAGTTACAAAGGACCCTTTTCTCCTGGCACCACCCCACCATCCCCCTGTCCACAATTGCACAAACAAAAGAGCTTTCCCACCCAACTATCTGGGTCTGATAGACGGTCACGTACCTTGTCAACCATTGATCGTCTAATTATTGCCAATGAAAGCTCAAGAGCTAACTTGGATGATCACCTTTCTTCACCAAAACGGAAAGGGCAGGACAAGCATAGCTAGCCATGGCGTTTCTTCTCCTTTGTTTCGCGGGCGTTCTGGATATTCTTCGCAGAATGCTTCTCTTCTAACCCGAGAGGAGAATTCGAGTTGGTCCCATGGACTCCAGGGTTCATTACAATCTCTATCCCCATACGCGTTCTTTACATGATACCTCTGTCTGCACTATCTAGCATTGTTCCTTTAGCGAGTTCCATCCCAGTGGCCAATATAACAGGACATTGCATTAAACCAATTTCTACGTGACTATAACACGGAACTGGAGAACCCTTTGACAGAAACTGTGGCTAACTTACTATTTTTATGGTATATCAGTATCACATCTATCTTTTCGAACGCATACTCCTTTGCTGCAAAGATATAAACCCCAACAAACAAAAGACCAAGCTCATGAGCAAAGAAAAACCAAATGCTGCGGCCAAAGGAAAGCCACGACTTCAATTAAAAGGTCGAATTTACATGGCTAATGTTACCGAAATAATATCACTTCAAAGACCAGGTCTGTTTCTTCTCTCCGTTTAGTATTGGGGGGTATTCTTCGGCATATTTTGCTAATATAACTACACTTTCAGGATCTTACAAAATCCAAATCTTCTGGAAAGGTGATCCAGGTGTTGTCGACAACTTTTCCATTCGCTATACAAATGAGGATACTATGCGCAAATGGTACAAAGATATTGACACTCAGCGAGCTATTCAAAACGAGGAAAGGGCCACCCGGTACACTGGCACCTCTGAAACAGAGTTCACCTACCTGAAGATGGGACCCAAAATTCAAAATCCCTATCAGGAGGAGTACGAAGCCGAGGAGGAGCTTTCTCGGGAAAATACCAATTTCTCAGACTTTTCAGTGTCTAGAAATGCTTCAAGTACGAGTTTGCGGGCGCGGGCGCGGTCGGCTACAGGTGGTAGTAGCGGCTCTGGTCCAATATCGAGCCGACCTCAACGGTTTCCCATGCCCGAACCACCTCTTTCGGTTTCGACCCATTTCCCTAACGGGGCCATATCTCCCGGAGATCGGAATGGGAACTCCTATTTCTCTCCAGTCACAGAGACTGGCTCTACACGTTCCAGCTCTCAGACCATGTTTTCGTACTCACGCCAAGTCACACCATCAACTCCTTGGATGGATGACTCTAACCGGTACACGGCTCCGGCAATGCCAAGAGCAGCATCGAGAGACGGCACAACCTCCAACCCATACTTCAGCCACAATAACCAAAGGGGCGCCCAGCGTCCCTCACTCCCACCCCTTTCTTCGTCCCATCATTCCCAACATGGTGGAATGTCTCAGTCCAGAATGCGATCTGCAAGCAGCCCTGACATCCACCACCATTCCAACGTACCCGACTCCCGCCGTCATGTTAATGGTCATTGCATGCAGGCGGTTGATAATGTCCCTGTTCCTCCTATTCCCGCCCACATGGCAAATATGAGAGCTCCCGTTAATCGCAGCCAAACTAATTCCCCAATAAATAACAATCTTCCTATCCGGTCCGCCACACAATCACCAGGCGTTCAGCAACGTCATGGGCACCCACAGGTCCCATTCGCCGACGCACAGTTATATAATCGGATTGATACTCGTTCACAGCCACCAGCCACATCGAACCTCATACAGCCCCCTCTATCCTCTCCGATGAGCCAAGACGGCGAGCAAGAACTCTACATGCCTAGCCAATTAAAAGCCAAAGTTAACTTCGATGACAACTACGTTACATTGGTCATTGCAAGCAACATTCTGTTCCGATCTCTAACCGATCGTGTCGACGCAAAACTTGCTCGCTTCACGGACCGGTCTATTGGGAACAAATCTGTGAGACTGCGGTATCGAGATGAGGATGGAGACTTTGTCACAATTGATAGCGATGAAGCTGTTCAACTTGCCTTTATGGAGTGGCGCGACCAGCACCAGAACATGTTGGCCAATGGGCAGGTTGGGGAAATTCAACTATTTTGCCAAGCCGTGGAAAATTGAGAGTCCATGTCTCTTGGGAAGAGGTTCCGATCTGTCTCTGGAGCCAAAATCTCCCGTGCAATAGTAGGAACTGGTATTCTTCTCTTTCTAACTTGGATTTCTTGGATTTCCAGACTTCTCTTCCATTCTTCTTTCTTTTCATTTATTCATCGACGCATCCCATGGCAGTTTCCGGCGTCGACGACTTGGTTTGTTTCTGATTTAGAATCAGTAGGATTGGCTTAAGAACTTCGTTGCTTTAGTCGTTGTTAGTCGTTATACACTTGATTTCCCACTCACCACGCTCCACTCTCCACACAGCCGCAGCGCCAAATCCAACAGCGTGTTGGACGTCGATTCAACAACAACCACTTCCAAACACCATTTGCGCTTCCCTTCATCTTGCTTTTTGAGGGACGATAGCATTTGGATCAAAGGAGTCAAGCTGTCACTTTTTGTCGAGAAGCCTATAATATCTACTGCTCTGGCCCCGACTCCCGCTTCTCCAGTTTTGTTTTTGTTTCTACCAAATTGTGACCCCTGTTAGCCTCGTCACCACATGAGAGACAGTGGAGGTTCCTGTGGACAGACATTGGGTTTGATTTTCATCCTTTCCGTTATACCATCAAAGAAATGACCGTATGATTGTACGCACCCTATTTAGATGTTGATTTTTGTGTTTTGATTGACCCTCCTTGGCTACGTTGAAGAGCACATCACCGAAGACCTTAAATATCTTCTGTCACCGTCAAGCATGCATCTTTTGCATAAGCCTCTATAACTACACCTTGCTATCATCTGTTCAACCCCCTCCCCCCCTTTTTTTTTTTTTTTGGGTTTGTTTAGCTTTATTTTATCTTGTTTTCTTTTACTTTACTTTTCCTTGTGCTCGACCATGGAAGCTGCATGGGGTATTTCAATCTACCTGTGAGGTATCTGCGGCCCACCCAACATCTATATATATACGCAATAAGTATCAGGAAATGGATTACTGTGCAATTTCGTAGGTTCTGTATCAAATCCAACGGAGGCATCCTAGGCATATATTTGCTCATAATGACTCTATGCCCATCAATGTGAAGAATCTCGTTTCAAGGCCAGCTGGGATCGACTCGACTTGTCCTCAAATTAAGGCATTAAGATTGGAAGCCAAAGTATACAATTTCAGCTCTAATTAAACCTCGGAATTTTTCAACCAGCTGGAATGGGCGAGGTAAAGTGGTTGGCGGTCGATCATCGTCTTGGCTCGCTGTTCTGGTTTGTGATATGCCCCTGCTTGCCTCAGCTAAATAATGTCAACTACGGAATGGTGACATGTCAACCTCGATCACACTCACTGCGCATTGCGCATTGGGCAGCATTAAAACCCTGCGCAATCCCTCTTACAGTGCAGGGGATGTTTCACAGCCAGTCATGTTGCAGAGCAAATATTCACGGGCCCTTGAGTGAGGCATTTATAATATGATGGCTTCCTTCTGTCCTGGAAGTTGAAAAGCATGCATTCTAACCCCCTCCACTACTCCCTAGAACACAGAGAAAAAAAAAGAAAAAGACAAACTCATAGATATCTGACTTACTTCGTAACATTGTGAATCTCCTGCAGTACCCTAAACAATGAGTTTCTCAGGTCGTCGACTCTCGCTCCTGAGCCCTTCCCAGAACCGCCGCTTCTCTGCCAGCAAAGAGCTTTCTCAGAACGGTTTGTCATATGCCAACCATCACCCTCATAGCGACCCGTTAAAAAAACGGTAGTGTGTGAAGATTTTTGCCTATGCTCATTTTTTCAAATAAATACGCCTGTAACAGAGAAGTCCTCCAAAACCCACCGTCAATTCCGAGATGCACACGAAGGTCACCGTCCTCACGCCGGCCTAGACGCAACCCGCGCCTCGACCGGCGTCGTTTGGACCACCGAACGAGCTTCTGAACACGGGTTCCTTGAAGACCCTTCCTCATGGGCTAATCTAGGTCAGGGTGCTCCTGAAGTGGATGACAATATTGCTGGAAGCTTTCCCCGTCCCACTTCGATCCCTATAACTTCCGCAGTCCGCGAATATGGGCCAACGGCTGGCATCAAGCCACTTCGTGCGGCTGTTGCGAGGTTGTATAACGAGCATTACCGACAGGGAAAACAAGGCTATACCTGGGAGAATGTCTGTATCGTTCCTGGTGGGAGGGCAGGGTTGATTCGGATTGCGGCAATATTGGGCAATTCCTATCTGTCGTTCCCCATCCCAGATTATTCGGCGTACTCGGAGATGTTGTCATTGTTCAAGAATGTGAGTGATCTATCTCTTTCTTTCGTTCTCTCCGGCGTATTTTGTGATCAAGACTGGAAGATATCTTCGTCCTTTTGTCTCTAGGACGAATGTTGATAGGGGGGTACAGTTTGCTGCGGTTCCAATGCCCTTATCCGAAGCGGACGGGTACCATATACATCCTGATAAGATTGCGGAGGAGATTGCTCGAGGTACTTCAGTCCTGTTGACGTCCAACCCCCGGAACCCAACAGGTCATGTTGTCAATAATCCTGAGCTGGCTAAGATCCAAGATATCTGCCGCGGAAGGGCAACCCTGATCTTGGATGAGTTCTACGCTGGGTATAATTATAGTAATGGCTGCGATGGCTCAACTACTAGTGCAGCAATGAACATCGAAGATGTTGACACCGATGGTATGTTTATATTAGATATCTCTTTTTCATTTACTTTTCAAAACATCCTCCTTCCAACTAATCTCATTGATCAGACGTCCTTATCATCGACGGTCTGACCAAGAGGTTCCGCCTCCCTGGCTGGCGAATCGCCTGGATCCTAGGGCCCAAGGAGTTCATCGAAGCCCTTTCCTCCGCCGGTTCCTATTTGGACGGCGGTGCCAATGTCCCCTTCCAAGAGGCCGCAATTCCAATGCTGGAACCGTCTCTTGTCCGTGCAGAAATGAAAGCGCTGCAGGTCCATTTCCGGGACAAGCGGGACTACGTGCTAGGGCGTCTGAAGGACATTGGATTCCAGATTAAGGATATACCAGATGCTACATTCTATATCTGGCTTGATCTCACTGCGCTGGATCCTCCTCTGCCAGCTTCAGCAAACATCTCGGATGGTCTTAATTTCTTCAACGCTCTGTTGACTGAGAAGGTGATTGTTGTTCCTGGCATATTCTTCGACCTGAACCCGGCGAAAAGACGGGATTTGTTTGACAGCCCCTGCCATCACTTTGTCCGGCTCAGTTATGGGCCACATATGGACGTTTTGAAGCGAGGATTGGATGGCATTGAGAGGGTCATTCGCCGCACGAGGGGGGAGACCGTTGTCACGGATTTGGAGGACGAAAGTGCTGTTCAAGATTAAACTCCCAAACAACTCCCCGCCGCCACATACGTTGTTTCATTTTATTTGCTTTGTTTCTTCGTTTACTATTTGGAGCCCAGATGACTGGATTTTTCTGTCAGTTGACCTTTTTGAATGGCTTCTAACACCTCGATCTTAATTTCACTTTAGAGCAGAATATAAAGTGGTTCACAGTCATCAATCTTATATGTTAAGTTTACTTCGCAATTAGTTACTGTGTAGATAATTAGCTATATTCTCTGTAAACGAGAAATAATCCTCTGGAGAAAAAATGTGCCTAAGCTAACTACCAGATATTTCCTATAGAGAAAAGCTCATAAGAGTATGATGCCGCTAGTAACAGCACCTTGCCTAAGCATGAATAAACAATGCCGGGGACAAGTTAGACCATACACAGATTGCTTCCCTCCCAAAAGACATTGAAAACCAGGAGCGATATCTGTATCCACGTGAATTGTTGGTCTCCTATTGCGGGGGAAACTCTATATGCGGTACGCGGAATCACGTGTAGGGCGGCCGCTCGGGGCAACGGGGTGTCCTTGGCTTCTGACAAATCCTTCCTCACGTGCATCCTCTCTCCATAAACCGGCTCTTCCCAGTCAAAAGGCGGGAGTCGCAAACTTGAACGACTGTATATCTCAGTGCTCAGGGACAATGTATTGTTCATAAACCCCCCACCTCAACCGATGTCTCTGCTGCTTTGTCCAGGATCCAGACACCATGTCGAAGAAACCGCGGTTATCCCGCATCTTCTCCACCACTTTATTTACTGTTTTAGCTTTTGTCCTTTTCGTTCTCACGCTCCTAACCCCAGGGGATATTATCTACCAATCCTTCCAATCTCACCGGCTGGGCAACATATTCATTGTCAGCGGTGTTTATATTATAACACTGCTTCTGGCTATGCTGGTTTATGCCAGCCGTATTTTTTCAAACCGGAGTGTTCTTTCTGGTATCCCCAAGCCTTGGGTCCCAGTGGAAAAACCTGATGTCCCTAAGAGTGTACGAAGACTCGTTGTTGAAGGCCTAACCAGGAGTGCCGTAATTGCTCAGCAATCACGGCCAAGAGACAGGACTGGAGAAGACAACAGCGGGTTGAAACCCAGCTTGACCATCCCTGCTACAGAAACGCCGCCCTGGGGATATATCTCACACCCTGGCTGGACTGCCCCTGACTGTCCAGATATGCCTAGCCAAGAATTTGAGCCCGTGATAAGGGAGCTTCCCCATCTTATAGAGGCAAAAGCAGTATCTCTTGCTCCTGTGGATCCTCGTCACCACACCGCTGGCGACCACAACGCTGATCAGTCCGGCGAATATCAATCAATTCCGGATTCCCGGATAGTCGAAATCCTCAGGCGACCACGCAACATGTGCCTACGTGACTATATCAGTCATCTAACGAATCTCAATCTCGTAAACCCTCCAGAGCTGGGCCGCTCATTTACCCGTCTCTACGAGCGCGGCAGATTCGCGAACATGCCCTTGAGAGAGCCGGAATTCAGGTCCCTTACTACCATGTTTGCAGAGCTCTTGCGAGGCATGACGGCGCTTGATCGGGAAATCATTGCAGAAATCCAATCAGAGAACTCTGTCGACAGCACGGAACCAGCCAGTTCAGTCTCAAGCCATATACACCCCCTAAACACCATGTCTGCAAGTTCCAGTGTGTTCTTGGCGTCCTCCAGTCGATCCGGCCCCGATAGCAAAAACAGCCAGCGCAGACGCTTCCGCCCCTCCAGCACACCCAAGAGTGGATCCTTTAATCTTGATAGGTCTAGTGATCACCAAAGCTTGCGTTCTTGCAGCAGTGGAACGCCGTCTTTGCAAAATTTGCGTCCCAAAACCTCCAGTTCCAATTTTTCGGCTTCTAGTGACGATGAGAGTGTTATTCAGCGCACGCAGTCACAGATATCTCAATTGAATGCTACTGATGTGAACACACCTGAGGAATTTGCAGGAGTAGAATGGCGGTGATGCAGATAAACTCATTTCCTCATCTGTCCTTTTACGATTTTTTTCCCCAGTGTATGAGTATTTAACTTCCCCCTTCCATTGGCTGTTGTCTCAATTTAAGCACAGCTTCTTGCCATTTAATAGGGAGGGAAACTGGCTTCCTTTTTTCTTTCGCTTTTCTTTTCTTTATCCTTTGTGCCTTTTATTTTAAGGTGTATAGGTGTATAAGGACATGGATGCTATTTCTTTCTTTTTTTTTTTTCTTTTTTTTTATGCTGATTTTATATATACCCCTGGAGTTCACAGTATGATGTTGTTGCATGATTGATCTTCTTTCCTCTTCAATCCTTATAGGAGTATGGCTATTGTATAGAGTTGCATGTGATTTCCCTATTGCACTTGTGCTCATTACTAATCAATTATTTTATTTTGCAAGGAGTCTCCTTTCTATTCTTTTCTTAAAAGATATTATATCAATGTTATCATCTGCCACCTGCAGGCCTTGTGTCTTCCTCCTCACTCTCTCTATCCCTCTCATCTTTATCTCTCTCCGTCACACACACATACTTTTCTTTCCTTTCCTTTTCTTCTTCTTTTTTGATATCTGTTGGTAAATGAAAGAGAGTACGTCCAAGTTCCAGTTGAGTGTATCATGAATATTGATGATTACCTTTTTGATAGATGCCTGAGTGCATTCATATCTACATACCTCTCTTCAATCATGAACACCTGGAAGTGGTGCATGCTGGTTTGGAGTCAGAGCTGGTTGCTCTGTCTGGCCCAGAGCAACCAGCACAATAATTTCAGCATCTTCACACATAAAAACAAATTTCAGGTTCAAAAATCATCCAACTAGCATGGTCTGATAGGAACACCCAAAGTCGAGGCAGCATAATCATGTTATCGCAGGTTCCTAATCAGCTTTCCTCCAGGGCTCATCCAACTGACACAATCTCCGGCGATTTTCTCGCCCTTCCTCCGTCTCAAATCGGGAGTCCCCGGAAAGTGGGCAGCAAAATTCCCGGTGAGACTGTGAGTCGAGAGGCCGAATGGTTGCAAGGCTTATTTGGAAGGTATGCGCAATACTGACATATTGGATATTTCCGTTCTTCCATTCCCAGGGGATATGTCACAGGCTTCCAAACAGCCGCTTGGGGGCGGAGATTTTGTTATCTGTTCAAGGAATAACTAAGGAGAAATAGGTACTTCGATTCGCAACCTTATTCAGATGTTACGTTGTACCTCGGTCCTCGAAAAGTCAAGGTCCATGCCCATTACGAGATTCTGAACATGTTGACTCCCTACTTCGACAAGGCTCGTAGAGGAGGTTTCAAAGAGGGCATAACCAACGAGTTTTACTTTACTGAGCACAACCCGCACGCTCTCTATCGCATGTTGCAGTACATTTATACGTCGGACTATTCACAGGTGGTAAACCAGTTGAATGATGCAGCTTGTGTGTATACATCTTCTATATAATCTCACTTTCCCCATTATCCCCCTACTCATATTTGTTGTCAAACAGATGATCCGGAATTGCTCATGCATACGCAGGTCTACATTCTTGCAGACTACTTCGATGTTATTGGTCTGAGAGGGCTCGCTTTTATAAGGTTTGCTAGAGTGGCCTTGGTCCACTGGGAGCGCGATTCGCAAGTCGAATCAATCGATTTCACCCACAGCTACTCGGATACGAGGAGGAGGATTATACCTGCATTCACGGACTACGTGGTCGAGCAGCATGAAAAGGCGGGCTTTGGAGATTTCCTCGATCAACATGATGGGTTTGTACAAATTGTTGTTGAATTGATGTTTGAATTTAGGAAACCGTATCTATTTCCTGTCTGATATTTGCAGAGGCGATCTCCCTCTCCCCAGGATTGAGTAATTGCATCCTTGCGCCCGTACTCAACTTGACGACGAAACAGGTGCTATTCCCAGTTGAAGTAGATAGCAAACCAGCTTATAATAATTTAGTCTCTACTTCCTTCCCATACAGCCATCTCTCTACTTTCTCCGCTTGCTCCTCATACCATCTATTCATAATCTCCTCTTCCGCATAACCCATATGCGGCGAGAGCAAAACTTCACTCCTCCCCTCCACTCCCCACCTTGTAGTCCTCCACTGGCTATCCCCCGGCAAAGGCTCCACATCAAACACATACAGCGCAGCCCCCTTAATTCTCCCATCTCTCAACATCTTCAACAGCGCCGTCTCCTCGACTAAATCACCCCTTTGACGTATTCACAAACAACGCCGTAGGCGTCATAGCGCCCAACTCCTCCTCCCCGATATACCCTTACTTCTCTCCGAAAGCACATAATGCACACACAAGACATCTGCTTCCTTAAAAAGCGCCAATTTGCTTGAAGTCCACTCCAAAGGTGCCCGCTGGTAATCCTAACGCAATGAGTCTCTCATCCTCATCCTTTTATGTGAGGCTACTCGACCTTGCGATAACCTGCATGCCGAACGCCAAGATTCCGATCCTTGCCCTTGCCCTGCCTAGTGTGCCGAGCCCGAGGATCCCGAGAGTCATCCCCGCCAACCCCATCGCTAAACCCCCCTGCCACCCTCCGCTCTTCACGACAGCATCATCCCGCGAGATGTGCCGCGCCAATCCTAGGATCAATGCCCGGGTATGTTGAGTTGTTGGGCTGTGGGATGGCAGGGAGGACTGCTTTTGCGGACCACCTGCAATACCGGTCGTCCCTGTCACAAGAATGCCCCGCTCCGCGCTTCCTTGGAGATCTATGGCGCGGTTGCGGTGGCCGGTCGTAAGGAGGTTCTTTGAGATTGGGGAGGGATGAGATGATCTCTGCGGGGAAAGGAGTGCGTTCTCGCATGGTGCATATTATTTGGTACGGGCGGAGCCGGCTGATCAGGGCAGCTTTGTCAGATTCATTGTGCTTTGCATGCAATGTTTCGGGGAATGAGGTCACAGTTGTGAGGCGAGGTTTAAGGTGTAAGAATTTGGCAACGCCGATGTTTTGGAAGTCATTGTTCTTTTGTCCCCCTTTTGCACTTGTTCAAGTATGGCAAGGTTCAGGATTAATTAGGCTTGGTTCTACCATGGTTAATCCCAACACCCACACTGCGTGACTGGTGTTGATATAAACTAAATACTCTGGGAAATTACGGGAGGGGAGGAAGTGATCCCGCAATCTGTAATCCCAGAGCTTGTCGCATCGCACTAGTGTCTGGGGTATCGAGATAACCGGGATGGAAATTCGGCATATCACAATTGTTGCCAACTATGCTGGAAGCGCTCGAGAAGGGACCTGTGTGAGGACTATTCTAAGGTGGGAGTGGAGACGAGATACGAGATGTTTAGCCGAAGAACTGGTTTTGGATGGAGCTGGAGGGAATATTCTTCTCTTAATTATGCTCTTACAGACTACCTATTTTGCCGATATCAATTTCCATTTCCATTTTAGATATAACCAATTTCTCTCACACAACGCAAAAAGAGTGGCTCAAGCACCAGGCTTACAAGGATAAAAATGGCCGAAAATGGATAAAATCAAAAGCGTACCCGATTACTCTCCAAAGAAAACCCCTAAACCTATTCACGCTTTCTAAAATTCCCTAGAGGCTCCAAAATTGCAAAAGTTATATAAACCCACAAAAAATCATGATTAGGATTGCCGTTCCTAGATATTAAAATCCAGGAGGATTAACGTCATAGGAATACGAAAATGTCATGCAGATGAGAAGGAAAATAAATAAATCCCCCCAAAACCCCAGATTTGGATTTCAACATAAGTTGTATAAAGAACCCCGGAATCAAAGACAATTAAAAAAAAAAAAAAATTCTAGATCAACGTTCATCCGATATGCTCACCAACTCACGAGCCCTTTCTCACGGTCAAAGCCTCCTCTTAGTTGGCTTGCCGGTTTGACAACCTTCCCTTGCAGTACGGTAAATTTCACAATCCCTTCGCAATCTTCCGGTCGTACTCTCGCAAGCCATATTCCCTGCACAGCACCTTCTTCAATTGATACTGCGCTTGGCTCAGTGGTAGAATCTGCAAAATCGCTATTCGTCCTTCTCCGGTACACGATCACATTGGCGGCGTATTTGTGCCCTCCAACGTGGCTTATAAAATAGATCCCTACGCCACCAAGACGCTCGTCGTTGAGGTCGCGATACAATCCACGAGCACGCAGGTGTCTTTCGAATTCCCGCCGGAGCAGCGGGGCTGATTGGCCGCAACGGGCGTCGCGCGTCCGTTGGGAACAGAGGAGAATTACAGCAGTGTGTAGACATGGACGGGAACGGAGAGGGGTTAGCGCCGTATAGTCGACGGAGGAGCTGGTGCCTGTTAAAGTTGAAGGGGATGTCGTAAGGGTTGAAGTGCCTGGATCTGGTTCTGGGGGAGGTGTATTCGTAGAAGGCGGTTCGCTGATGTTTGAGTTGTATAGGGGTGAGGTGGTGGTAAGGGCAGGATTGACGAAGTAGGTGATGAGGTCCGAGGCAAGGGCTGGGGTGACGTGCTCGACCACGGTGAATGCGGGGAGGATGAGAGCTGTAGTAGGTTGCTTCCCAAGTTCGTGATGATGGTATTCGTCCGGAACTGGGATGTTTGAAGCAGAGAGTTTCATGATCTATTGGAAGGATTCAAGATACAGTTAACATAACGGGGCGAACCATGGTTAGAACCTGCAGACAGAAAAGCAATATTAATTTCATCACCATACCCCATTGCTAGGCTTCAAGCCACCCTTTTCAATAGCTTCCATAACGCTTCCCTTCTCATCAGCCACATCTCTCACCCAGTCCGTTTTGCCCGTTGCAATGAGCACATGGGTGGCCCATCCTTTGACATTGCCGTATAATTTATCCCCAGTATCGATGTCGAATTTGGAGGGGTATCGAAGAGTGCAGCTAACACAATCACGGTCGCAATCCTCCCCGTCGATTGAGGGATCAACCCTTGTAAACAGAGTATTCTCCGATGCTGTCGTAGTGGCGCTGTCTGCCAACGGGCTTTTGGTTCCTGCAAAAAGAAACGAGGTGCCGCGCCGCAACAGAGAATTCATTTTAGTTAATTCAATTTCTTGGTTTTTTCCCCTCGGTTTTACTCGACGGATCTGCTACACTTTCCAGTTCTCCATATATCTATATGCTTATCCAAAATGCACCTGCGAATGTATGTGGAAACGGCAGAAGGCCTCGTCGTAGATGTCTGAAAGAGCTTCACCAGAGATGTTGGCGGCTGGAGAGGTTATCAGATCCTTTTTATCAATCTTATCTGATCACGCCAAGGTGCCGGAACTTTTCCGTAGTTTCGCTGGTGCAATTTGTCAGCCCGAAATTCAAGTCGCCCGGGCCGGGGGGAGCCCGGAAATAGAACGAGTCAAGAAATTGAAACAGTTGCGCCGCGCAATACCAATTATCCTGCCAGTTTGATTACATCTAGGAAAACTTAATCCCCTTTCCCGTTCCAGTGGAGAACTACGTTTTTAAAGAATCAAGTTCGTGTGCTTACATTTGATAGCGCCCGACGGGGTTTAACTCCACTCGGATCAGGGCATTCCGCACGATAAACAAAAACCTAGCCGGCCCAGTGGAGATGGTTGCATTGTATCCTATCTCAGCTTCTATGTGTGTTCTCCGTTGCCATAGTCCTCTTTTAAATGCTCAGTCTCATCCTTACATGTATTGCGCATGATGTCTTCAGAGAAAATTTATTGTGAGGGCTAGGCATATGGTCATAGTGGTGCTTGTACATCTAGCCATGACACCTGATGGTTGATGGTGTCTACCCACATCCTCACCCACCTCGTACGATCACGACATCTGATCGTAAAACGGCAACCTTATCTTATACCAAAAAAAAAAAAAAAAAATCCCACCCACACTGCGATCTAGACTTTAACTAGGCGGTTTGACTTCTTTTTTTCTGGCCCTGCCTCCTTCTGTTTCTATCCACTTCGCTCCACTGCTCACAAATCCCCACAATCTCCCGTGGGTCACTGGCTTCCTTTCGCTATCTAGCTCCGGTAATCCTTCGTCCGCCGTCTTTTATCTAGCTCCACAGGAAGGATCATCAAACAGTCTGAGCTTAGAAGCAATTTTCATCGCCAGGCTAGAAACTCCACTGACCCCCGCAGTGTGCTCGGCAACGTGCTTTTCAGTATCCGCTAAAATGGGATTACTTGATGAATGTGGAAACCCGTCTGCTATGCATATTATGCAATATTGACGGAGAAATCGTCTTTATTCCAACTGTAATATGATGTTTTCCTATCCACATTCTCCTCAATGAAGGAACGCGGGCACTTCACACTAGCTCAGAATAGTAAACTTTCAGGAACTAACAATTGCAAAAGATGGAGGAAGAAAAGGAACCTTGTTTGGCCTTCGAGGAAATTTGCATAGTAGCTGCCTACGTGGCTATTGCAGATCTGCCTATTAGGTAGCAGAAACAAATGCATATAGCAAAATAAAACAGGAGATCAATATAATTTTGGAACGTATGTGCAAAAAAAAAAAAAATCATCTGTGCAGGGCATATCCTCAAGGTGCGCTTGATAAATTCTCCCTGAACTAGCTGCTAAACCTTTCGGATGTTCCATTGTTCTATTAGACCCCTCGTGGAACGCCAATCAGCAAAAAAGCCTTCCTCAACTGCAGGATGAAGCATACAAAGGAGTGACCTTAACAAACAGGTATATTCACAAGCAATTTATGAATGTTATGCACAAAAGAATCCGAATAAGTTTGAGAATCCATATATATACCATGCCGCAGGGGAGTTTAGGTTGGGGAGTTCGTGCTTGAGGGTTGTGATATATCCAAAGTTTGAACGAAGATGTCGGATTCGTTGTCTCCTCCTAATACCTTCCTCCCTTTCATTTCATATCATGTAGGGTATGTTGCATGCCCTGGTCAATTATTCGCATCTTGTCCATATTCCGCATTCTCACTTTTCAAACTGGCTGTGGCAAGGGCTACGAGTGCGGCTCGTAACATTGCCTGCGGGAGTGCGTGTCACAACTAATTGATATAGAAAGTCCCGTGCACTATGGCTCTGATGACTTCATATTGGGTGAGAAATGCACAATCCCTGGGTACAGAATGGGGAAGAAAGTTTGAAAAATGTGGTAATTTTAGCGTGGAGAACAAGTGTATACACATCTAGCTGAGCTAAGGGACTAATAAGGTGTTATTACAACAGTGAAAGGATGAGGAAAAGAGGTAAGTAAAGGACGAGGAAGGAAGATAGTGGAAAGGAAAAAGGAGCCATGGGAGCTGCGTAAGAAGTCGAGGAGAAACTAAATGGCGCACAAGACATAGTGTAGATGGTGTAAACTTTTTGGCCACGCAAACATTTATTATCAAGAGGATGTGGAGAATATCAGTCCATGAAAAGGAATTAATTGTGAAATGACACACCCCGTTGAATCTTCCACCCAGTCTTCCTGATTGAGACGAACAGAAGGACTCCATATTTTTTATTTATTTATTTATTTTTTTTTCTTTTTTCTTTTTCTTTTTCTTTTCTTTTTCTTTTCTTTTTTTCTTTTTTTCTTTTTTTCTTTTTTTTTTTTTTTGCTTCAAAGAGTATCTCCAAAGAATGAGCTTTGTGCATCAGAAAATCGGAAATCTGGAACGGATGACGGATAGTTTAAACAAAGAACCAGAAACTTTCAAGAGATATAGATACCAAACGATGGCGCCCCACGCAAAACAGCATGTCAAACTGCAGGAAAAGAATTTTCAAAGCCCAAAAGAAAAAGGAAGAAAATAATAGAAAGATAAAATAGAAAAGAGAACTCCAGTCGCCCAACTGTGTCGTGGGATATATCACAGTGAAGACGTTGTTTATTTCACCTATCTCGTAATCTTCATTCACTTGGCATCAGAATAAAGTGGGATGAGAATATGGGTGTTGTTGTTGGGGCCCATCTTTGAGCTCCGCGATCGCCATACGCCCATTAGCCCCGTAAGGGGGGGTATAAAGATGGGTAGAATAAGAAAACTGTTTGCCCAACGGAAGAAAGATCAAAAGACGGAACGCCATGGATGATTTGGGCCCTCAATGACTGAGTCCCAGTTGCAAGCTGCTTGGCTATGGATATTTCTTCAGGTCATTTGTTTTCTATTAGAAACCAGCAAGAGGCCCCGTTCGGGAAGATTAAATCAACTCTTAATGGCTAAGAATCCCCAGCCACTATCTTCGTAGGAATGGAAAATTCGCGCGAGAACAGGTTTGTCCATGGAGATTTCTTCATGGTAAATTATGGGAGGTCGAGGCTCATACTCAGACGCTGGTGGGAATCGTGGGACGGATTCCACCGTGGTGGGAGGAACATTGAAGCGTTGTATTTGAGGATTGAAAACAAAGACCGAACCGGGATAATTCATTCCAGCACCGATCACCGTCTGCTCTCCAGGGACCGGTATTAAATGGACCGGAGGCTCTGTTTGAGGAGGGTAAAAGTCATTTCCAACAATTTGCAAGAGTGGATATGTCTGTTGGTTATCTCGGAAATTACTTTCTGGAGGTAACAAGCTTGGAGATGGTTGCAGATATAATGGTTCCTGGGTTGTGCAAACTGGCTGTGGGTTGATGTCAGGTTGATGAGATCGACTTTGGTGTTTGGTTAAAGTTGTTTTCCGGCAGAAGCTGCAAGGAGATGTCAACATATTTGACCCAAACAATGACAGAGAGATATAAGAGTTACCTTCGCCCGCACTCCAACTCCATGCACTTATATGGCCTCCTGCCAGTATGTATTCGCCGATGACGAGCTAAACTTGAGGACTAAAGCCGAAGTTAATTCGACGGTTGGACAAATGGAACAAAACAATTTCCACGCCAAAACAAGGGATGAGTTTCCGGAGGATGACTCGCAAAATTTAATCCAACGTGTACAGGTAGATACCAAAGTCCTCAATATTCACTTACATCAGAGAATGCTTTACTGCAGCTTTCATAATCGCATACATGGGGCTTCTCCCCAGTATGGGTTCTGGAATGGACAGTCAGGGCAGAGCGCTGAATGAAGCTTTTTGTACAATTCGGAAAACCGCATTCATAGGGTCGTTCGTTGGTGTGTATTCGAAAATGTCTGCACAGATCCGATTTTCGGTTGAAAGCCTGGTACAGGATAACAATTGCATCCAAATCAATCAACCCATTCAGATCATTACGGTTGAGTAAAGATGGCAGCCGATCTTTCATACCTTCTTACAGCTATTCCAAGCACACGGAAAGATGCGCGCACGAGGCATGTTGACTGGTAGTACTGCGTGAAACAGTGCTGGTTTAAAAGCGTGCAGTTCCAAACGAGCGGTTTAGATGTGAAACGAGGGCGTTGGAAGGAGAAGGAGAATGGGAGCGAGTGGCAAGAGTAAAATAGAAAAGAAAAACAGAAAAATGGAGATATAAAATTTAATATCTAAAACAAAAGGATAAAAGCAAGGGTGAACTAGATGGAAAGTTGTAAAGAAATCAATGTAGGGGACGACGGGGAAGAAGTATGAGTGGGAGTCAAGGTGGGACGACAGAATTCCTGACCTCCACTTGATAAGCTAGTTAAGAACTTAGCAGGAGGTCAAGAACGGGTGCTTCATCCGGCTAACTAATAAATACCATTACAGAAGAAAGGAAAAAAACGATAAAATAAAAATAAAAATAAAAAAAGGCGAAATGAAAATGAAGAGATGATGGGGATAACTACGACAGAAGGTGGAGCGGGAGGGTATGTAAGTATGAACCCGAAGGACTCCAATCGCTGGACCATACGGGTGCTGGGCGGATGCTGAGACTAGGTCGGACCTTAGTGGTAAAGTAAGTGCACGATGAATGGCCAGTGAAGGCTCTGGATGCTTGCTCCCTGACAAGTGGAGGGCAATGATTTACAGGGTTCATCGATCAAACCGCAAAGCGACCTTCTAAAGAGGTTTTAGTGACGGTTCGGACGGGGAATTGGGGAGCCCTTGGGGAAGAACCACTACTAAACCTGCTTACGAGGTACACTGCCTTTCATAGTCTGTTAGCACACGGGCGTGTCTTGTCGGTTTTTGCTCTGTATGTGTACATAAGGACCGCCCCGCGTAATGCCTCATCCCCATAATACCAAGGGCCCCCTGCGACTCTACACATCCAGGCCTAGTTTAGGGGTCTCCCACCCGCTAATCCCAGCGTAGGTTTGCCCCTCTTACGTTGGGTGGAAATTCCAGGGGCCAGAACCTTGAAACGGGCATGATCGTAAAATCAACCACACAAGAAATAATATCACCTTAGTAATGAATGCACCGTAACTAACAGCACGAGTATTGATCCATGCTCTGCATCCTGCTTTCAATGCTGAGTGAACGGTGTGAAACTTAAACCTTGCTCGAGCGCGAGGCGTTTAATATATCAAGGTTCGGGAAACAGGCTGGACATCACTGCCTTTTTGTTAGCTGTCTCGATATGTGGTGTAAAATGTCGTATTGATCCGCAAAATGGTTGAAGGGGTTATGAAACAGACGACATATATTGGATTTTCTGGACTGCATCGTACTGCTTTTTTTCCTTTCTTGGCGGGCTAGTATTTCCTCGGGTTACCAAACGTATGGATGGTAAACTGAACGAGCGGCAGTTGCTCGTTCTCATCGGATGCGAATTGGCTCGATCGATGATCTATAGGCGCAGTAACCTCCAATGTTATTTTCAGATGAATCCAAGTATCTCTGGGGAATTAGAGTTCCAGAACGTGGGTTGTAGGCTGTTGCAGATTTCAAACCTGGTGATCAGCGAGACAGTCACTCCAGTTATCCCACGAAAGGCGTGCTTGAGAAATACTAAGCGGGTTCGCGGAATACTAATGCAGCTGATTCACCCACCAAACAAAGTGCCAATCCACAGTGGAGCTAACATAATTTGTCGGGTTACGGATATAATTTATGGATTCAAGGAGTGATGCACCCAAAACCGTGTATTTCAACTAATACTCTCGGCGGAATAAATATATGAAGTGGCGGGGGAATACTCCCACATAAGCCTGCTTCATCCTGCGGCTTTGAGTATTAAACAGTGGTTGCGGGCTGGCGGACGGCAAAGTGCCAGAGACGAAGCGCCACAGAATATTCCACATTTTTCACGGAAAACCATGTTTTGTTCATTTTTACAGAAAATGTTTCTGTTTGTCACTTACGGTACGGAACACATCATTGGATTCGACCAAAACTTTTGGAACGTAAAAGGGGGAAGACCAAAGGGAGAAAGGCTTTCAAGTGGACAGTTGGATCAACCTTCGTTTGAGAGGCCTGATTATGGAGCGCTAATCAGAAGCGGCACATGGCATACCAGCCAAGATACTCGCTAAACCTTGAGAATAAGTTAGTTAGTCCAGAAGTGTGCCTCTGCTTCGAGTAGTCTGGGCCAATGTTTGGGATTCCCATTCCGTGATCCACTCTTGCACTCAAAATGATTTCGTTTTGACGATCTTGCCAAATTCAAGTTGCTCTTCGCTAGCAATTGCACATGATGGGACAAATTATCATAGACGGGAGGAAAAAGGGCGGCACCAACTGAAGATGCGGAGAAGAATATGGCCGGAAAGGCTGAAGATCGGCTTATCGGTTCTGTTGAGCAGCCACCAGCTTCATGTCATGGCTCAAATTTCCGCAGTGTGGGAAATCTCTCCATCACCAACGATAATACCTCAATTGGAGTGCTGATGGACGTCCCCCAATCAGAACGGCTCGGAAAGTGTAATACGAAGTTCCTCATGAAGGAGGCGTTGTCAAGCATCCGCCGGCATAGTAGGGTCTTGGCGCACGCTTTGTTTGTCCAGGCATCCCGAACTTATGAAAAGTAAATTTGCCATCAAAAATAGTTCCATCGGGATGTTCTTATGTTTCCTCCTTGTAGCCAGTTGGCAAGTTGCGAAAAGGAACGTTGCGGTTTTTATTTGCAGGATCGTGAGATTGATGGTATTATTTGCTTGATCATTCTACCCTTAATGTGCCCCTTCATGGATCAGGGAAGAAACAAAGGATAATGCATTCTTTTGAGAGCCACTCCCTAGAGCATCTACTATTGGTCAATTTTCACCTGCAGCAACTGATCGTATCATTCTTGTGCCATTGGAAAACTGCTCTTCAACAGCACCCAGAGTTGACTCGTGATGCGTTCGCAATTAAATCCCACATACATACAGCCATGAGGCAGGATGTAGCACAGCACAGTTGTCGCCTCGACACATGATGTTGGACAAGATATGTGAGACCATATCGCCGTGGTTCAGTAGAGCCTTTGAAGCATGAGGCGAGTGCCTGTCTAATGTTATTCACCTGAGATTGCCCTAAGAGAATTCAATTCGACATCAAGGCTCTCGGGACGAACGTTGGAGCCAAACACCGCAGCCGACGACAGAACTGGAGAGTGAGAGTTTGACAATTCTGAGCTAACCACATCCGTGTCGTGCAAACGCGGGCGCCTGAAACAGCTCATGCCTGTCATTGGCCTGTCAAATACTGGTATTTTTCAAAAACAACTATGACCTAGCGCCGTTTGAAATGAAAATTACTGATTTCAAGCACCAAACTAGTCTCCCAGCAGGAGACTAGTTACGGCGGAACAAAAACAGCCACACCCCGCATTTTGGGCTGCTTGACTTTTTAGTCTGTGTCGGACTAGATCTGCCAAGCCTAGGACGACCCGTGGTCGGGAGCGGCTTGGTTAGGAGGGTGGGAAGCGTGTTTGGAAGCACGCGGCGGCGAGGAGACCAGTCAGGACTCTGCGAAAATGGAACAAGGGGATGGCTGCCTGTGGGAAATGGTGAAGACGCCAGTGAGGTCGAAGTCGCCTAGTGGCTGCAGCTGAGGGCTTTGTGTGGGAGGATAGGTTGCAGGTCCTCATACTGCTCAGTGTCACTGGTGTCTGCGTGGAACTCTGACGCCTCGCCCCAAAGCACCCCTTTGGAATGCGGTGCGTTTCGAGACCGAATATACGGTAGCTTCTCGTCCCGGTCGGAATTCTCTTCCAGTACGGAATACGGATTCGAGAAGGACCACGTATATACGGTATGCCACAACGAAATTTGACAAAGTTTATCCTCGTCTCATTCCATTTTAATGCTTGGAAGCTCGTTTTAGTTTCCATTTCACTGTTCAACAGTGTGGGCGCGAAATTCAGTGGTTCGGCTCGCTTATTTATCCCCATCTGCTCTTTTATTCTAGACTGCTCAACGAGTAAGAACGATTTGAGTACTCCATTGATCGATGTTCTGTTGCAAAGGGGCCACTTGTCGAAGTCACAAGGCTCGCTATCACTCTATTTCATCCCGGATGACAGGGATTGCCTTGCCTTAATGGAAGACAGACATCCCCTCATCTGCAGCACCAAGATCCACGAAAGCTGTATCTACGGTGTTGCCCGGTATGCACAAATGGTTTGCATGTGCAGTACGTGTTTCAGTTTTCATGATTGGGTTAATTGATAGATACAGCCTCTTTCAGTCGTAGCATTCATGCAACTGAATTGATAATCCCCTGGATGCGACGTTGGAATCGTAGAAATACGAAAGCAAACCTTAACCCTAATAATCCCAAATTGGGATGTGGCAACATGACTTTACAGTCCCCTCAGCCAACTGGCAGCCAGAACCCCTGAACCGCTAAAATATTATCGTGACGTCTGCATATCTTTTGAAGCTCGCCGGCAACCAGTCTTTTGCTTGATTTAACAACTTCTATAGCCTCTGACACTTCCAACATCTGCCATGTCCCAGTTCAATCAGCAGGCAACTTTTGTCTCTCAAGCAGAGAGAATTCGAAGCAGATCCTGAACTTTGACTCCCATCCCACACAGGGCTGACATTGTTATTTTCCCTTTTTTTTTTTTTTTATTTATTTTTATTATTATTATTATTATTATTATTATTATTATTATTATTATTTGCTCCTATATTAAGATCAACGGGTGAGAGAAACCCAATAACACGCCGGGAAGAGCCTTTACCAGTAGCATATGCACCCTACCAAGGATAAAATCTTGGCGCACACTTTGGGCGTTTTTCAATCTCGTAATCGCAGACTAAAAATTCAACAATATTGAACAGTATCTAAGTTGTGGAATCGGTTTGCTAATATACTTATGGGGGACGTTGGGAAGGTAGAAAAGACGAAAAGCCATCTGTTGAATCTCACACCCTAAAACTACATGTGGAAGATGCGAAACAGCCCTTCAAGTCCACCGGCGAGGCTAAGTCAACGAAGGTCAATTGCTCGTACCTCCACAAGACAGTATACAGTGTATGGACGGAGAACTGAGGCATACAGGAATACTGTAGCCCGTAGTTACATACATATATTGGAAAGTAAACGAAACGAGAGCTGTGCTAACGAAAGGTAATACAATCAGAGGACGATCCCAGCTCTCTCCTATTAATGCCCACAGAAGCTAAACAACTAGCAGAAAAAATCAGGCTCTCATTTCTAAACTACCCAGGTGAAGACGGTTTTCCAGAGTTCCGACAAGGCGTTCCAGTAGTTAGGCGGAAACGTAAGTAGGATGTTGGCACAAATTTCCGACCACTCATATATGACACAGGTACCCAATAAGGCGTCGAGTTGTTGTCACTGGGAAAAACATCCCTAAAAGAATTTCCCCACCTTGTTCGGGCCGAATAGGAAGAATCTTTGAATGCAATCCATGAATAACAACCGAATAAGGTGTTGTAGATTTATGAATTCACAAGAATTCTCCTGCCGCATCCAGGGATGTCCGCACCATCGGATTCGAGTACCCTTAACTTCCGAAGAAGAAACTTAAATGTGGTGGACTTTTTTTTTTTCGCAATTTACAGAATTGAAATGAATCCGCGATTGGTGGTCTCGTGCACTGCCATAATACCAGATCGGGTACATCCCATTCGCCGGCCAAATGCTTTTTGAGGGGCGGCGTTATATCGCGGGGAAGAGTGAACCGTACTCCGCGCAACTTTTATCGATGTGCCAATAAGGATATTTTTAGTTTGAGTTCAACAGTTGAAACTACCGTGTTCACAATGGCGGGAGAGCGGCTGGTTCTTGGAGCCTGTATTCACCCGTATATTGGCATACAGTAGTAGAATCTTACACCTAACTACGACCACTGCCACTAAAATAATAATTGGGATTGAAAAAAATCCGAAATTTCGTTTTCTGTGTCCAATCGCCCTCACTGAAGTTCGAAAACAACACACGACGACGTATACCTTACGTGGGGGCGACGGTCCAATGGGTGTGTTGGGGGGCATGGGACAAATTAGGGTTCTGTACAAGTTCCCGTTTCCGCTCCTAAAAATGTGGGGACCAAGCTTGCTCACCCCGCCGTTTTACTTTCTCCGGGACACTTGAGCCAAACACGCAGACAGGATAGATCTCCAGAGCCCAGAGTAAATCGGAGAGACGGAAGGGCGAGTTGGAAGGATGGGATCTTTCGGAGCTACGAACTTTCGTCTGGTTTTTGGGAAGCAGAGGACAGCAGAAAGGGCCAACAATGACGCAGAGACAGTCATGGGTTAGCTGCTCTTTTCACACAAAGGCTAGGTAGTTAACTAGTTAACTAGTTAGTTGGTTAACTATACCCCCTAAGTTACCTTAGGTGACCTTTAAGAATTTCAAATCCTTAGAAGAGTCGCCATCCCAGCCTCAAAACACAACCCCATTCATCATCGCAGTGGGATGGCATTTCGGCCAGCCAAACGCCAAACCGGGAAACTCCTTTCATTCTCCTTGGAAGCGTAGTATCCATCCATGGATTACCATAGAGATCACGTTTGTCGAGTGACTGAAGCGCTCCACTGGAAACGAAGCAGAGTGTTCAGCGTGTAGATTGGGATATGCACCTTCATCGTTGCCAGGTGGCTGAGGCATTGAGTGGGTCCCCGATTCCTCATTCAGTTAGCTATTCTTATCGTCTCGTTTACCTCGTCACGTTTACACTGCGGACAGATCGAGTTAGTGTGATGCATGATACTGGTAGGTTTAGATGCCTGATACGGACAGAACTTGCCATCCGGGTTGATAGATGATTTCAAGGTTCATTTCCGTGTCGTTACTTTTACACTCCCCTCGATGGCACCACTCTGTGACTATTGAGAGTGCCGCCGACGGAGAAAATCAAAGCCTTTTTGGGTGGAAGTTTTATGCACTATCAGGATTCGGGTGTGGGGGATAAGATCTAACTCTGATCGCCCATCTCCTCTCCACAGTTGGTAAGTGATTAATCGGCAGAATCTCTAGTTATGGTTTGTTACTGAGTTGATGCTCCTCACGGTCGCTTGTCTCACATGATCCAGACCCTTTTAGGGGTAATTAAATTGTCTTACGACAGGTAACTAGTAATATCTCGTCTTTGCTCTTGTCGTTGGCAGCACACCATCCCACTTCTCTGTCCCCAAAAATTTGTCTGAAGAGAGGTGTCTAGTTAGACATCCAAGAAAAAAAAAGTTACGATTCACTTTCTCTTAACCACTTGTTGAGTTGATTTGCACATTCCTTTTGATAACCAGGTCTATATAATTTGAGTTAAAAGCTTCTCGGCGCTTGCCTCGGATTCCAGTTAAAGCACACCCAAATCATGCGTTGGGCCAGCCCTGAAGAAACCTGGCTGTTGCCCTTAAGGGTCACTCAGATCCCTGGATCCCGGGAAGCACAAGCCGCTAGCAACGGTTGACCTCCCTAGAGTTGGGCAATGTGTCTGTACCATACAGTTCTGACAGTTTAGATTTGAGGCGTTCACCTTCACGACTCCCCAGATTACGCCTCAGACCCTTCGAAAATTTCAAATCTTGAGGCCTAAATATAATTTGATGCTTGTTTATAATCTTCAGTGTCAGATTCTTTTTTTGAACCTGATCTGACAATATTCAGATATTACTCCCTATTTCGCGTTGACATCAGGGCTTTCTCGATTGATATGAAACCGCTTATCATTGCCTGATGTATATTGATTTACTAGCAAGTTCTAGGGTTCTAGGGTCAATGAAACAGAAGATATTGGTTTTGTCATTAATATTCAAAATTTGATGATACATTTGAGCTCTGAAAAACCATATATTTTTCTGCGACTTTTTTTCATTACTCCTAAATTTTTATCAGTCTTCATACACGGTATAACTCTGCGGAATGCAACGCCTGTTTGGGCACCCCTCATCCGTTTATCATATCAGGGATCTTCAACCCCTGTTCATTTATTTAGCATTGAACTTTAGATATTTTGAGTCCGGCAAAATACTCCTGACCTCGGGGTGAAGTGACATTCAACTTTTTTTTTAATTTCATACTTCCTAAGCCTTTTAATTGTCAATCAATAAGCTACTTTCGGCTCACAGTATATTCAATAATATTTTGCAGCTGCTAATTGCTTAATTCTCTCATTATCATCAATTGCTATAGGTCAGGAACAATCGTCCAATTGCTTATTATCTACCAAGGGTTGCGACCGGCTACAGACGCTTACACCAATGCTGCATCAAACTATGCATCTAATTTCTCTTTGTTTCAAATGTTTATGGAAATGTTTGAACCGCTGACTGATCATGCTCACGACTGAAGAAAGGATAAATCATGACATCTCCATGACCTATGTAAAGTAAAACTCAATCTGCTGCCCTTTCCCCCCCCCCCCCCCCCAATTTTCTATTCATCATCCTGGCCCCGAACGGTCCCCCCAGATCCGAGCATTTTTAGCCAAAGTTTCATATGGAGGGATATATTTGAGTGGCAATATGGGCAGCAAGATCTGTCTGCCCAGGGTTTGATTGGGTGAAGAGGGATTAACTCGAATTTTTTATTTTTATTTTATTTTTGTTTATTTATTTATTTTATTTCTATTCTTATCGGCATCCGAGTATCATTTATATGCGAATCGAAATCATATGGCGTGGGAATATATGCGCTAACATACATATAACCAAGGAACGTAACACCCCCCCAGATCTCCCGCAAAGATGCAACTCTTCTAGTGGTTTATAAACCACAAGAGACTTGAAAGATACTTTCATCTCTTGCCGGTTTTAGTGCCCATATGCTCTCCGTCCATACATTCATTGCCCAGACAGCTGTAGCCAGAATCCTTTCCCCTCTGGTTTCAAAATGGAAAAATATATGCCGGACTTTTGTGGATCACCTGCCCTCCTTTGCCAGCATCACAGCCTTTCTAACATGGAACGTCCTTTGGAATCGACCCTTGAGTACCTAAAGAGATTTCATTCACCTCAACACAAGTGTATTTCACCTGTACATGCACGGGACAAACTCCAAGAATCAAGCCAGATTAAGTTACATTTCATGCTAGCGAGTTTCTTCTAAGCCATCACTGAAGAATTCATTGCCCCAAGGGGTGTGCCTAATGCAATAGACTACAGTGTCCAATTTTGCGATTGAGTTTTGATAAGTTTTGGTCTTCCAGGCCGTGTTTCAGGGTGGCTAGGCATTTGTGCCATGTCTCTATGTCCATATTCAAATCTGGACGGAGAACTTCTTTCCCCTGCATCGATTCATGCTTTACGTTGCGTTTACGACCCCTTAAGAGAATTACAAGAGGCTATCAAGAATTCTTTTCTGAAGTTCGGATACTTTAAATTATGCTTATGGGGGAACCCTGTCTATAAAAAGATCGTTCATTGGTTTTCTCCTGCCTATCTACCTGGATCCCTGGATGCTATGTACCTATATCACTTCGGATATGGAGGCTTACTCTTGTTTTGTTAATGCCAGTACTAATCAGTCAGTGGGTTAATTTTAGAATCCCGGATCTTATGCCATTAACCCTTGCAGGTTATCCGATGTCTCTGTTAGTGGACGTCAAATATCGAGCTACACACTGATATTCTCTGTGACAAAGGAAGAGAATTAGCTAAGGACTTAGTTCATATACGATTACACTTGAAGAGTGTATGAGAGCCATTCTTGCGCAGCCTGTTGCGTGCCTGCAACGTAGGGGGGATGAAGTTCTGGACCGAACTGCGAACCACAAGCTTGAATGTTGCTGGTAACTCTATGATTTTCATGCCAAGTGCGGATTTATGTGCCAGATGGGGGAATAGTTTTCATGCGTATACAAATGGAGAGCGTTCATACAGGCTGTGGATATCACTTTTAACAGCAGAATCCGAAATATTACATAACTTTCGCATATATCGTTTTGGCTGTCAGTGTACCGGGAGAAATTCTCCATTCGGAAGGGTATTTTTATAACTATCTGTGCTCCAGGAGATTTGCGACTAAATAAATGCAAACTCCGTGGTTCTGAAGAATGTGGTAGTCTCAATAAAATATGCATGTTGCCCTGCGACCCATTAATCGTGACTATGCAAAGATGCAGAAGTAATCGTTTAGATGGCAGTGTATATTGGTAATTAAAAAGTTATATATGTGATACATTAAATGTTTGGTCAAGAAACAGAATAAAACATTGAAAATGGAGCTTACATGTTCGAGGGTCAAAAGAAACACACAATAGAGTCAAGTTTCCCAAGACTCTGGATCATTTCGATAAGCAGGATGGTATTCGTTGATGAACATATTCCCCGGCAGCTCTTGTGGCTCAATGGCCCGGATAGTGGGAGCAATTTTTGTTGAATGAGTCGTCGATAAGTAGAAACCAATGTCATTAAGTGGGATGGTAGATGTCGTTCTCGTCATCCACGCCTCGTCACGAGGTTGCATATAGGGGTGCTGGTGATCGGTTGTGCCGAGCTCATGGACACCTATAGCTGGCTGCCGGATTAAGTCATCCACAGTGATTGCGGGATCAGAATTTCGAGACTTCCATTGACGTAGAAGAATGAGGACAATCCCTAGAAGTAGTACGGCGCCGAACACGGAACCAATGACTACGCCAGCAATTGCTCTGTCGCTTAGCCGCCGTGAACTGGTGGGAGATTTTTCTAAAGGTTTGAAAACTGCTGAAGACGTTGAAGGCGTTGCAGCCACTAAAGATGCTGGAGATGCTGATGACTTGGCGGTTTCGGAGGCAATAAGATCGTACTTTATAGCAAATAGAGCAGTATGGATGGTGACGACACTAACTTCCCCTGATGGAGTCGTAGAAAGGAGGGTAGCGGTAGAAACTTGCGAATAGCATGGGATTGTTGTGCCGAGCAGAGTACTAAATATTGACCAGCCACTAGCATAGAGGCTCTTAGCGTTCTCTCAGAAATGATATGAGAAATATTGGAAATTTATACTCACAGTGGGCAGCATGCAGTCTCCCCAGTGGTCGTATAACCTTCTGGACACGTGCGTAACGGAGTAATGCTAGTTCCTCCAAAGAAACAACAAGCCCGGTTCCCGCTGTCCGCGCAGACAAGCTGTGCATAGACCGTTGTGCGGTGGTTTGAATCCGTGACAGTGGTCTGGTCAGTCGGCCATGTACAGGACCCAATTGTCATTTCGGGGCCTGCTCCCCGCGATAACATAGCAAGAACATTGATGTTATCCATGGTAGGAGTAGATATACTGGTGACAAGAGTTGACGGAAGGGTGACGGAGGCTGCGGGCGTTAAGAAGGGACCGAAAGTCATTGTAGCTGGGGGGGTTGTAGTAACCCCTGGACCCGAACGTAGCTCGTTTGGTGGTTCCATTCTTCGCCAGAAGCCGGCCGTGACTGTATTGTTAATATTGGGAATAGCTGGCGCTGTCCAGGTCTAAGCCAATTCACTCTGGTATGTCGTGGTCTTTCAGTTGCTTTAATACTGTTTCCTGTCGCAAACTGAAGTTAGACAATGGTACAGGGCTGCTTCGGCGGGATATTCCACATACTCCGAAGAAAGAGCGATATCGCCTCCCAAAACAATGTCAAAAGAATATTAATGGTAATGTAGTATAGTCCCCTACTATGACCAGGGGCTATCACTTTTTGCAAGTTCGTTTGAAGTCAGAGAGAGCTCATTTATCATACGTCACAGCAGAGTGACAGGAATCGAGAGAGGTTATTAGAGAAATAAGAACACAACGAGCGGGAACATCTCTACCTGCATCGCGTAAAGAGTTTGAGAGGGTTATAGAAATAACAATCGTGGAAACAAGTAGATACATAGCCGTCAATACTTAGCGTTAAGTGTGATCCATGGTATATACCGATGCAGTGGGTGCGGAGCAGGCGAAATCCGCGGATGACAACATCCAGTGGCATAACCCAGCGATTGACTCCTGGTGTAGGATTCCTGCAAATATGAACGCCTTAAAAAGCTAAACAACTATTGGTTTTGATAGAAGAGTTTGGCTTGAAGGTTTGTAGAAATACAGTCCATCTAAGGCCGCTTCCGGTTGTAGCCCAGCCTTGAGTTGAAAGACCTGCCTGCAAACGTTTATGAGAGATCCCCCACCAAAATGGCCATGGCGGCACCGCAACAAGTAAACAGGTAAACATTGAGGTATTTGTATAGATCTTCATTGCTAATTTAGAGATAGTAAGCAAAACAATTATTAGGGGAAATACATATCTCACGCAACAGCCTCCTTGTATCCCAGTTTTCGGCGTCGACGAACGGACTCAACTATGTCTACGCAGCGTGTCACACGGTGCTGCACCGAAGGGAGCACTGGATGCCGCCTTTTACACATGCGGCACACATATCTGCCACATGGTAAATCTTGCATTCTGTCAGCCCATCTTCACGGCAATAATGTAGGAGAACGGCAAGGGAATGAAGTCAGGATGATTCCAAGGTTATCAGTTGAAGGTTTAGGGTATAGGCCAGTGGGTCACATGATCAACCTTAATGCCAATTAAATTTACATCAAAGTTTCCGCGGATCCGAGAAATGAAGTAACAGCCTGCAGGAGATTGGAAGACTCGTATAAGCCTTAATGAAGAATAATGAGATAATCAGGAGACTATTTGTCCAAAATAAAAGGATGTGAGAAAAGGGGTCTCTATACTCAGTTTGTAGGCCTAGTATGCTTAGTGTTTAACCCATCCCATTAGCTTAATGAATTGTATAACTTTAAAGCGAAGTAGAAAACATGCATGGGGTTCGATAATAAAAGGAAATCAGCATCAATCAGCGCCGATAATATAACTCGAGATATAAAAAAGTTGAATAAAAGGGAACATCCTGAGTAGATCATGGAGAGCTGGTTATATATATACTTGACCACAAGCGGTAGGGCGGTCGCCCGGGGCAACGGCTAAATCAGACCAGCCAGTTGCAACTTTAACCACGTTTATCCTCCATAACAACAACCCCTGAACCTCCAAACTCCCCGGTACCTGGCGGCAGCCAATGGCGAGCAACTTCTCTCCACCCATAGAAGTGTGTGACATCTAATACTTGGACAATTACAATGATTTCTCAAAATCCATTAAGATATGCCCAAGAATCGGATGAAACCTTTATTCTGGTGACCGGAACTAACAGGTACGCCTGCTGTCAAAAGATCCAGGCCGCGCCTACTGATAATCGAGACTAACCCCATTCTTTTTTTATTTCTTACATCCTACAGCGGTCTAGGCTTAGCCGTTTGCTGTCGAACGATCGATGAATTCCTCACCACACGTCCCGAGTCCAAATCGCTAACGCTCCTCTTCACCACCCGCTGCTCAAAAAAATCGGTGGACACCCTCCCTCTCCTACAAGCCCACCTCAGCAACTCAGCCGCTAAACATGCAACCTCCAAGAACCGCATAACTCTCAGGCCAGAGCATGTTGACCTGTGCGATTTGCTTTCAGTGCGTGCGCTGGCACGGCGGTTATTGGCCTCTCTCCCAAAACTCGATGCCATCATCCTCAACGCCGGCATTCTTGGTGTCACAGGCCTCAATTGGTCCAAGGCGGTCTACATGTGCCTCACAGAGCTGGTGAACGCTACAACATATCCATCGCCATATACACTCAGGGACACCGGCGTCCTGACTAATAAACAATCCTCGCAACCGGACGAGCCTCCACTGGGACAGATTTTCTGCACCAATGTGTTTGGACACTATATGCTTTGCCACGCATTGATGCCGCTGCTCTCTGCCTGCAAAACCACTCCCGGCCGCGTGATCTGGATATCCAGCCTCGAAGCCACGCGCGACTGCTTCGATATCTCAGACATACAAACTCTCAAAAACTGGCGTGCTTACGAAGCCTCTAAGTACCTTACTGACCTCCTCGTCTTGACGGCCAATCTCCCCAGTTCCTCTCCGTGGGTAGATGCCTTCTTATCCTCATCAACCACAGAGGCAAAGTCGCAACAGGAGCAGGATACAACCGACCCCGACCCTACCGCATCGTACACAAGACCCAACCTCTACGTCGCCCACCCAGGCATCTGCGGCACTGCCATCCTGCCCCTAAGCCTGCCTCTCTTCTCCGTTATGGTCGTCTTTTTCTGGATCGCCCGCATGATCGGTTCTCCCTGGCATGTTATATCCACCTATAAAGGCGCGTGTGCGCCCGTCTGGCTAGCTCTATCACCACAATCTGTCCTGGATGCCGCTGAGGGCGCGTACGTGCGTCTGGGTGGGGGAAAGCCGAAGTGGGGATCCTCGTGTGATCGGTTGGGTCGTGAGAGTCCTCTGTGTACGGAGGTCGAGGGATGGGGGTTTGGTGGGGTGGTTGGTCCTGCTGTGTTGGATAATGATAGGAGGCAGAGGAGGAAGGCAGGGGCTACGGATCTGACGGCGGAGGAGAGGGTGGAGTTTGAGGATCTGGGAAGGAAGTGTTGGCGGGAGATGGAGGAGTTGAGGAAGAGGTGGGAGATGATTTTGGAGAAGGAAGAGAAAGCGAGGGGTATTTGTGGATAGGATTGATATATTGGATTCATTGAGGGATTTCGTGGAGGGAGAGTGCTATTGTTCAGTCTTCAACATAGATGCAGGCGCACATATGCACGTTTGTTTCCTCTGTTTCTTTTTTCGAAGACCTGCTGTTTATTTTATTTATTTTAATTTTTCTTCATTTTGAAGACTTTCTCGGGATTGATTAAATATACTTATTCTACGTTTATGGTGTTGGTGTTTGGATCTCGATCGATATCCACCTCCTGGCATGCATTTCCACCTCGTGGACGGCGTCTTAGATAAATAAGATTACTTTGACTGCAACATCGTAGATAATTTGCTTTTTCACATATACGTCCTACTCTTTACTGGATCTCTTGACTTATCATTGCTAAATCAAAAGAAATGAATACAGAAAATGGACAACTTCACAGAAGCTCAGAAAAAATGAACAAGCTGGATTAAAATTCAAACAAATTAACCCGCATTTATGTATCGCGAATGATTTCTGAATCGAAGAGAAATAAATATATAAAATCTCGGGCAGTGAGAAAAGAAAAAATCAATGACAAAACTCAGAGGTGGAAGAAAAGAAAAGAAAAGAATCAATTTCCCTAACCCCAGGCAAAAGCGCAATATAAAAGCAGGAAAGAAACGAAAACGGAAACAGGGAGGAGAGATAGTATGGGATATAGTGGAGAGGTGTGAAATAAAGAGTGTGGTCCAAAGCAGCAGATGGAAGGGAAAACAACCATATAGAACAAAGATCAGCCAGCTGCGAGGAACCTTTCCACGCGCCAGATGTTGCGAGAAAGGAAAAGACAAGGAAAATGGAAAAGTTGACAAATAAATCAAAAGAGAAAATAGACTCGATGTCTCAACATCTTCCGCTTTATATATGTAAATGTGGCCCATTTTTCTTTTCTTCTGTTTTTCACACCTTTTTATATTACGACCGACGCTAACCCCAATCCTTCCTCAGGCGCAACGCGGGCCCTTAAATATCTGCACAGAATGACTCCAATCCATGCATTGTATAACGAGTTTCTGTAAAATGATTAAAAAGAAATATTATCCTTCTTGTTTCAAGAAAAGAAACAAAGGTCCGTACGAATTTCGATTGTCGCCAGGCGTGCGATCACATAATAATAGCGGGGACTGCGAGTTGGATTAACAATATCAGTTATCTACACATATGGGAGACAAATTGGGGAAACAGAAGGAGGGATATGATATGATAAATACCATCGACATTCTGTTTGATGCTCTTGTGGGGCAAAATAGAACCACCATTGACATAAACTTCATCTCCAATAGTCACATCGTCTCCAAGGACAGTGACATTTTCCAGTCGTGCCCATCTGCCCACAGTGCTATTCCATCCAACGATTGTCGACTTTACCCAAGCGTGGTCCTTGACCTTGCTGTTCTCCAGCAGGACGGAGCGCTGAAGTCGAACGCCATCACCAACTACGACATTCGGTCCAATCACAACGTTAGGTCCAATACGACAGTTCTTGCCAATCTTGGCAGAGGGGTCGACCATAACGTTTCCTTTGTAGACATAAGGCTCTGAAGTGCACAAGCTATCCGACTTGCGCTTTGTGAGTGAGGAAAGGTAAAGGCAAGTACCCGTGAGGAAATCCTTTGGTTGTCCAACGTCCATCCAGAATCCTTCAAGGTCAAAGGAATGGAGCTGACCATCCTTGCATATGGCTGGGAACGTCTCCTGCTCAATAGAAGTGGGACGGAGCTCAATGCGCTTCAGGACACTTGGATTGAGGATGTAGATGCCAGCGTTGATGCGGTTCCCCACAAACTCAACAGGTTTCTCAACAAAGCGGTCAATGCGGGATGGATGGTTTGGCTTATGGACCACGACACCGTATTTCGACGGCTCCTCGACCTTTGTCACCACAATTGTTCCCTCATCGCCATGTTTCCTGTGGAATGCAGCCAGTTCTGCAAAGGGATATTCGCAGATGACGTCGGAGTTGAGAACGAAGAATGGACTGTCATCCTTTCCAAGAATTTTCTCCGCGAGTTTGAGAGGGCCAGCGGTGCCCAGAGGCTCTGATTCAACTGAAAATTCAATTTTCAGGTTATATATTTCTTCATACTATATTGTGTCCCCGCCAAAAGAATCAGCACATTGTAGTGGTCATAGTAAAGTGGCAGTCCGGCAGGGCCAAAAGCTAAGAATATATGCATACAGAGCACATACCTTTTTAAGCGTAGAAACCATAACATCTGGTCGATAGTTAACAGCGAGAACAATGTCTGTTACACCAGCAGCAGCCAAGCTCTCCACTTGATGCAGGATCATAGGACGGTTGGCGAACTCCACCAGTGGTTTGGGGAGAGTAAGAGTCTAGCAAAAGGAGGTGGCATGAGTATATAGTATTCCTTGCGCAGCTGTTCGAGATGGGATACAAAGTGCGCAATTTCGCGGACGTTTTCAACATACCAGAGGGCGCAGACGCGTTCCAAAACCCCCGACGAGAATAAGAGCTGCGGACAAGGAAAAGCATCAGTATAGGTTAACTGAACACGGCAGATAATAAATCACAAACGAAAATCATATCTTACCCTTCATTGTTGATTTGGGGTGTTAAGGAAGCAGTGGGCGGAATAGGGAGTCGGATTGCCTGTTAAGTGGGTGGCTTGGTTGGTGTGTTGTTACGTGTGCTGTGACTTAAGAGGGATTGAGAGAGTGTTAACGAGCGTGGGAGGGTTGGGAAAAGAGAAAACGACCAGTCGAAATTATTGAGAGAGGATGTTGGTGGAATTGTGTTGCTGCAAAGAGTGATCAGGTAGAAAGGGGGATAAAACGGAGAGACAAGAAGACAGAGAGCGTGGCACGAGAATGAAAGATCCGAGTCGTTTACGGTATTGAGGCAAGGGGCCACCTAAGATAGCAGTGGGGAACGGTTTTACTCCGTATCCGTCCTTGCTAGTGACTTTGGTTAGAAGTAACTAAGTTGGTTAGTTACTCACGATACGTAATCTTAGTAATTTGGGGGTTGGTTTCCCTCAATAACTAATACCTCCTTTCCAAGTACCACTGCTGGATCGGATTCCCACTCTCGAGAGAAATAAAGACCCCAGAGCATTACGTCCATTTTGCGGTCATCTGATGCTTGATAATCTCCTGGTCCAATTTAACTCATTAACCCAACCTGGTGAGAATGCTGGTTATAACTGGCTGACTGGTTGTTCTCTCTCTGGGGAATTTGCACCCTGGCAAGGTTTCAAAGGACATAATTTTCCTCTTGTTGATGGTGTCTTTATTATTTGGTAGACTTCTTGGACAAATAATGACATTTCTACTAATATTAATAACTAGATTCGGCCAAAATCCATATCTGTTCATCTGGACGGCATAGGAAATTCGTTCAAGTGCAATTCAGCCAATGAAAAAAAATTGTAAGACCTAAAACCTTGCATAAATAACTAGTCAACTAGTCTGGGGAATCATTATTAGTTAATTGCATGATTGCCCAATCATGGCGTTTTAAAATTTAGCTTAAACAGTATTTCAGATTCAGTCGCATGACTTCCGAAGTACCACTGTATCGGAAAATGTTCTTCGGTTCCTCCGTAAAAACATCTTCTCGAGAACTTTGTCCGTTGTCAGATGATAATACAGGTGTAAAGGGATCTCTAAATCCCCATGGTTGCCTGTTGGAAACATTGGAAATGCCTCAGCTGTTGCTGTCTATGTTATGAACTCAGCTGAATCTGGCAAGGCTTAAAATAAACACCGCCTCCTTGCTACATCTCACTGAGTATCCGGTGGTAGGTATTGCTCTCCCGGTAGTCCTCCCGAGCTGGAGTTAATCGATTGTTGACCAACCATTCCATAAATATGCGGGCTGATAAAATCCAAAATCCATTCCCTCACTCTGCGCACTTTCGTTAGCTGTGGGTGAGAATCGCCCCTTCGATCACCTAGGATCCGGCACGTGAATAGTCCCTCCATGTCGCTAGAGTCAACTGGCATCCGATGCAACAAATCAATCTTCGTCATGTTCCCCTTCAGACTCTGCCCATAGACTTTCCCTCGAAAACTGTTCAGCGCTACAGACCGGAAAAGAACTATATCTCGTGGCCGCAATCCGCTTATCGACGTATCCAGATCTTGCTTCGCACCATCACGCGATTTTTCCTTCAGGGGTAACCAGCATGTGATTCTGAACCCTGACTTCGTTTCGTCGCCCACCACCAATTCTACGACATCTGTCTCATACCCCAGGCGAGTTCGCACGCGTTTGCGAGGGTGTATCGTGATAACCGCCCCGATTAGGTTGACAGGGATCACTCGAGGAGAGACAGAATGGATATGTGCAGCGTTGGGTATATCTTTTATATCACTCAAAAGCCCAGTTAAGGGAGGTGGCAGAGGATGATGCATTGAGCTACCTTGGGTGGACGGGGGTGCAGCGCTAATAATGTTCTTTTCCTCCAAGGTAGTCTCGAAGTTGGAGTCTGTATAAAAGGACTCCATTTCACTCAACATGGTCGAATCCACCACTTCATGCACAGCAAAGGAGTGATCATAGAATTCCGACCTAAGTTCTACTTCGCTATCCAATGTCAACTGTAGACCGGTATGTCTTTCAATTGCACCGGGAGCCAAAAAGTCCGTATCCCCATCCTGCAAATATTCGCCACCATCACCGATTTTATCACCCTCATCACCTTCTGATGCAGGAAAACCATAACGGTCTTCATGTTGCGTGATGGCCCGCCATCGCACTGATGAGGCTGTTGCTGCAGTTGGGTTGTTTCTCCCGTCGGCAGATGTACGGCAAAACCAGCATTCATTCAAAAGCTCAGATTCATCCCATCTCAGAGTATTTGGGCGGGGTGCTCCTGTTAAGGTTATAACCTTGACCGGCATTGATGGCAATTGTCAGGCTCATGGGTAGCAGGAATTCATAGGATAGCAGCAGCGGCAGCAGCATTTACTGAACTTTTCTGTCTCACACAGTGGGCATATTTGCAATGTATCTGCATCACATATATATTGATTACTCACAGCAAAAGAGCAAGCCCCAGTCTTTCAACTCTGCCTGTGGAGAGAATTCACCTTCAACAACTGGATGTTTTAGTATTTGTTTATTCAAGATTTTCAATGTAGTTAAATAGCTGGAGAAGGTCCTCCCCACCTTACTAAGCTAGTCATGTGAACCAACCAATCTTCACTATATTGAGCCGTTTAAACCCGAGACGAAGTCTTTGAAAGAGTGCGGGAGGGAAGATGAAGATATTCTACAAAGCCTTATAGTAGAGTATATAAATATAATTAGCACTGGGTAGTACATCTTACAACATTTCAAAAGAGAGCAGGTTTACACAGCCCATTCCGGGGCAAGGGTCTGAAGCCCGCACCGGTATTCATGACTAAGACGCTGAGTGGGCAAAATCCTTCGACCTTGGCTCATCGATCAAAGTGGCAACAACATTTTGTCTTCAACAAATTTGCCGCCGCTAGTTCACCCATCAACCATCAACTCCCAACAATCCAACAACGCTGCGGTCTTGTTCGAGCTCCTCAACAATGGCTTTGGCGTTCTCCTCACTCTGAATGGATTCGTGCATCTGACTCCCTGATTCCCATTCAGCCAAGTCTGGAGTTATCTCCTATCGTTTTGGCTGAATCCTTGCCAGCAAGATGGCCTTCAACGCTCCACTCTGTCTACCGGTAAGGAGTCAACATTCCTCCCACTCACTTGGGCAAGTCCTTCGTTTGGTGCTGACCTCGAAAACGCAGACTGCAGCAGCTCTGTCAACGGATCTCTGGCCTTCCGTGGCTAACGCTTTGGCAACGCCCTGGACAGGATTCAATCAGCCTTCAGATGTTTCCCCAGCCAAGCGACGGTATGAACACCTCCGGGGGGGTCGAGATGAAGCTTCGGTAGTATGTCCTTCTTTGCACATCTATCCCCACAGCAGCTGTTGCTAAGTATATTAGATTCAACCGCGTTTGACCCTTCCCGACTATCTGAAGTCGGTTCAGCTTAATTCGCTCCAAAACACCTCCCAGTTGAACTCTGCGAAAGGCCAGCAAACGTTGACGTCCATATTTTCTCCTCGTAAGTTGAACGTCGCGCGGTCGTATTTTCCCTGCAACACTAACTCATGGACTTTTAGCTATCCGAAAAACCATATGGGGCGCTAAACCTTTCTCAATGGCGAACAATCTCAAATTGAACTCACCCCGCCAGTACTCTACCGTCTCACTCCTCCAACTCGACCGATCGCGAAGTATCCCAACATTGAAGGGCATCTCACAGATCCAGCAGCACAGATTTCTATCCGGAGGACCTTTCCATAATCTCTTAAGCTACACTGAGAAAACAGCAAACAGCAAACCTCAGAGCGTTAGCGCCCAAAATGCCTTCTATAGTGCCTTACTACGTGCCAACCTGCCAGCAATTATCGTCGAACGATATCGAAGCGGAAGATATGCTAGTGACGCTACCAGTGAAGCTACGTACCTCAAAGCTCTTGAGCGTGTTGGCGGCTTTGAAGCTACTGGTGCAAGAGTTGGACAGAGTCAATTTCAATCGCAAAATCGGAACCTCAGCAATGATCAGCTGCAGGCTGTTGGCCAAGCGGTTGCTGCTCATATCAGTGGAGGGCAGGTCGGGGTATCTACTAAAAAGGACGGTACTGGTGCCAAAGAATCCCCTCTCTATGTCGTGGTGGAAGAATCTCTCTCAAGCTCAATTTATCGATGGGTCAAGTTTCTCTTCATCTTCTTGCTCGTCACTTATGTTTCTTTTGTCGTGGTCAACATCATCGCCGACACCACTGGTATTCTGAAAAATGTGCGAGGTTCTCAGGCCAACGAAGCGCAACCGCAACACCAACAAGTGCGTTTCAGTGACGTTCACGGATGTGATGAAGCCAAGGAGGAACTTCAGGAACTCGTCGAATTCTTGACCAACCCTGAACGCTTCAATTCTCTAGGTGGCAAACTTCCCAAAGGTGTACTTCTCGTTGGACCTCCTGGCACTGGAAAAACTCTGCTCGCCCGTGCTGTTGCCGGAGAAGCTGGTGTGCCGTTCTTCTATATGTCTGGATCTGAGTTCGATGAAGTATATGTTGGTGTGGGAGCCAAGCGGGTTCGCGAATTGTTCAACCAGGCCAGAGCCAAGGCACCTGCCATCATCTTCATTGACGAATTGGATGCAATTGGAGCCAAGAGAAACGAAAGAGATGCCGCCTATGTGAAACAGACACTAAACCAACTTCTTACCGAACTTGACGGATTCTCCCAGTCAACTGGTGTTATTATCATTGCTGCAACCAACTACCCGAAACTTCTAGATAAAGCCCTCACACGACCTGGCCGTTTTGACCGCAGGGTCGTGGTTGGCCTTCCTGACGTCCGTGGTCGCGTGGATATCCTGAAACACCACATGAAGAACGTTCAAATAAGCACTGATGTGGATACTGCTGTTATTGCTCGTGGAACACCCGGTTTTTCTGGTGCTGACCTAGAAAACCTTGTCAACCAAGCTGCCATTCATGCTAGCAAGAACAAACAAACCAAAGTCGGCCCGGATGACTTCGATTGGGCCAAGGACAAGATTATGATGGGGTCCGAAACTCGCAGCAGAATTATGCGGGAAAAAGACAAGCTTCTCACCGCATATCATGAAGCCGGCCATGCTCTCGTGGCCCACTTCTCCCCTGCAGCAACACCCCTGTACAAGATTACTATTGTTCCGAGAGGTATGTCATTGGGCACAACTCATTTCCTTCCGGAAATGGACATTGTCTCGAGAAATTACACCGAGTTCTTGGCGGATATCGACGTCTCTATGGGTGGCAAGGCTGCGGAAGAGCTTGTTTTTGGTCCAGAAAATGTCACAAGCGGAATATCAGCGGTATGTTAATTTTTCCCCCTATGTTTAGCTAACATATTTATTGTATTTTACATAACTGTAGGTTGTGAGTTGTGCTAACGCTTTTTGTGCGCAGGATCTTCAACACGCAACCAACACTGCCTTCTCTATGGTAACTCGATATGGATACTCCAAGAAACTAGGTTCCATCGACCTTATCTCAAACTACAAAACCTTGTCTTCTGAAACCAAGCAAGAAATTGAATCTGAGGTCAGACGACTCATCGAAGAATCAAGTAAGCGCGCAACAGCAATTCTCACAGAACATCGCAAAGAGTTGGAGCTATTAACCAAGGCGTTGATGGAGTATGAAACTCTGACGAAAGAAGAGATGGAAAAGGTGCTGAAGGGAGAAAAGTTGGATAAGCTCGAATCCATTGCTAAGGCTCCAATTATACTACCAGACGCGCTGATGACAACGGGATTGAAGGCTCCAGCTGGAGAATCAGCCGCTTCCAAAGGAGCGGGGGTATAGTTCCTTTCGTTCTTTAACAACTTTTCTCGCTTTTTTTTATTGTTATATAGTTGGGTGATTGGGAATATTCCTTTTCCTTTTCTTTATTCTATCTATTCTACTTTCATTTTGTTTTGTTTTGTTTCTGCCAGTTTTCGTGATTTCTATTCGCCAACACATCATTGTTTATTCGGACGTTTTTCATATACCGTCTCGTCCTGGTTATTCCCAGTTAAGGCTACTTCGCTACCGCCCCAGTTGTGAATTTCTGTTTGAGCCTTTTTTCTCTCCTCTCGTACTCCCGTGTGTTAGGAGCGTATATGTATGTACACAGCCAAAACAATTGACATGACATATTAGTTTTCGCATACGCAAAAGGAAAAGGTAAATAGGGTTAAACTGGGACCTTACATCTTCAGGTTCCCCGAGAGATAATTGGCACTCTTAGTATGTCACACCCACTCCCACACCCGCCCAAGCTGTTTGAAACAGATATCAAAAGTAAACCAAAATATTCGGGTTTGCGAGGTTCGCCTTCCCACAGCATCTCGCTTGCTTTCCAAACTTGCTTTTGTTCTGGGAATCCCATTTCTCGTAAAGGAGAAGAGAGCTGCGTCCCTATGGACTCTTTTCAACTTCCAAGTGACCCAGTTACAAAAATTGGGCGCTAAGTGCCCAAGGTTAAGTTCCATCAAGTACATTTTACCAAGCTGCACCTGTGTATGGAGTAAATACACTTATCGACAAAAATATATTATATTAGCCAGAAAACGAGCGGATTAGATGGGGAGAGCGCCAGTTTCGATTTCAAACTACGTATCGGAAACAAAGAGAGAAAAAGAGTCGAGAATGCAATGCACAAAAATTGCCTCTATTTCTCATGCGCATGTAAATCAGTTCCGGAAGTCCTCTCTCGTCTCCTTGTTTAACACCCGCTCTGCACATCTGGTATGTATGGTATACGAAAGTGGAGAAAGTGAGAAATGATGCATGTACACACATGCATGCATAGGAGTCTCAGTATAATGGAGGAAAAAAGAGCATAATAGCACAAATGAAGAAAAGCTGTACATCTGACCAACTCCCCATAGATTAGGACATAACTAGTCAACTAGTTAGTTACTGGACATGTTACGGTAGTAATCATCATACAGTTCGAAGGTCAATAGAGATTGAAGTGATGTTCTGTAGTTACACCTTAATGCCTCCTGACAAGAGAAAACATGGGAGGTTTGGTTCCATATACGCTCTCTTCTTCCTCTTCATACTTTGTAGAAAGGAGTAATTCACCCAACAGAATGAAACCCTTATATTTCTTCTATCGTCCAGATCAGATTTCGTCCAATACGGTCTGGCATCCTCGAAAATATGCACAGGTACATAAACACTAGAGATTCAGGTGGCAAAGCAGGTGTATCTGGATTTTCTAACTTGGAGGAAATGAAATATATCATATGATAATACCAAATATCTGGATTAAAAGATACACCTCCACCTGATCTATAATCAAGAAGCTCCGCACTTCAAATCTCAAGGTGTAAATAGCCGGATGAGTTGGTATGTTGCATCCATAAGAGCAAGTGAGCCAGAATTGGTCTCCCTGCGTCTTGGATGGCTCTTGAGGCTTCCACGTCCACTCGGTATCAAAGCTAGTGGTACCAACCAGCGGGCCGCGAATTAGACCGGACGAACAGATCGATAAAATAACCATGAACGATTCCTTTCTGTCCGGATGTGGAGTAGATACACATAATAGGCGACGTAACCTCATACTCGACACGAATTGAAATCGGGCTCGAGAGACTCATGTCATTTTGCACTGGCGGGGAAGACACCTCACGCTTCCTATGAAAGGCATGTATGTGCATGTTCATGTCTCTGCGCACGATGCCGAAGGACGAGGTTCTTTACGACGTTCGTCCGGCTAGTTGCGCATGACCAAGCTGCTGCTGCACCAGCTGAACGAATGGAAAACAAGAACAAAACTCATCATGTCGACAACAGGAAAGAAGTGATATGCTAGCAAAGGAGATGGAGAGGCAAAAGGCGGTATGTTTCTCCAGTGTGAAAAACTCTGCTGGGCATATTAGCCAAAACTTTACTTTTCAAGAAGCAGGTGAATATGCAAAAAACACCAGTCGTGACCCCGTATCGCATACGGAGTTGTCTAGTCGAAGATTTCGGTTTTTGAAAAAGCAATAAAAAGAGTTGTCTCAAAATATGAGTATCAATACTTACGGATATCATACATGCAAACACGGTTCGCCAGTCCTTGGCAAACTTTCAAGAGAGCCTTTTGGATTTTTTTGTTTTTCTTGAAAATGATGCCGGATCTCACGGTTTGCAAAGTAGAATTGCAGGAGGGCGGCGCTAAATGAAAGAAGGGGAAAATTGGGGGACTGGACTTGAAAGCTTCCAACGGATGTATGCACTTTATCTGGATGGCGTATGTACATCCAATGGCACTATCCGCGTGGAGAAGAAGGCCATAGCAAGAAATGCTGCATGATAGTGGTTGTGGTGAAGGTGGCGAAGAGAAAGTAAGGAGGAGTGATCCTATGTGTCGACAACTTGTTTAATAAACCATGATAAAGAGTAAAGCCATATTTTCGTTTTTCTTTTGCTCATTGCTTCTCCCGACCCACCCGCCCTCAGCCACCCATTGGATTTGGAACTGCTCTCTTTTCCACTCGTGTTTCGACTGGAGAGAGTTTGGAAAATGGGGCAGGGAAAAATGAAAAGCATGGCTTGTGGAGATGGTAGAAAGGGAATGACAATAATAGAATCATTTTGTTCTGAGGAAGTCAGGAGAGAGAAGATTAACCACGAGCAATGCAAGTTGCATGATAGGGAGTTAGGAAGGGATCCTTCTGTCATAAGAAAAAAAACATTGAGGGAACAAAAGAAATATTTCCAAGCCCAATGATGAGGAGTAAATACTCTTTTTGTATGTTTTGATACTTGCAATCCATTTGCAAGTGATTAAAAATTAATAAACCAGGAAATAGGATTGAGTGCGGAGGCATGTAAAGAGGAGGAGACATGAAACTGAAAGAACCCAGAAACCTAGAAACTCAAATGGAAAAAGTGTTAACCACCTCACACCATCCAGTAATAAATAACAGCAATTGAAAACCCCAATTATACCAAATGACGAGGAAAATAATAACATAAGAAAATAGAAATAAAAATTAAATCACTGAAAAAAGCAAACTGAAACATAACCGAAATCTCGACCTTGAAGGAAGTAATAAAGTGATTGAGAAAAGACTCGATTGGACGAACAGATATCGGCATCTTGTCACATCAGCCTCCTTGAATTTCCTTTCCTCGACAATCCTTTTCTTATTTTCGTCAACGCCGTATGCCTTGCGTTATCGAAAGGATCAGTTTAACCTCAGGTAAGCTGGGCTAAACCCTGAGGAAGGAAAAAAGATGGGGGTGGGTCGAGGTATATCCCAAGCTGCAAGTTTAAAACTGTGGTCGAGACCGTTTCCTGCCGCCAATTTTAATCCCGCATTTGTTTCCGCATTTGTTATTCGAAGCTCCGTATCGAACTGACACAGTGTGAAAATTTGAAGCAGACTAAGAACGAGAAACGAAAGAAATAAAGTAAAAAGTAATGAAGTAATGAAGCAGTGTGAAAGAATGATAGTTCTCTGATGGTAGTTTATTTTTGTTTCGTGTTTGCAATAGGATGTTTCGTAATTTAACTGCTGCTTTCGGAAGCTGATGAGATCGAGGGCGATGTTGCAGCTTTTCTCTTCTTCAAGTAAGCGCAGGCAACTGGGAGACGATGAATGTCATCGTCAGTATTTTGAGACTCAATAAAATGGAAAAGAAGGGATTAGCAATTTGTCATTGCAATTCGTCGTGGCCTACGGCTCGGTGTCTGGTATTCGGCGAACATAAGGAAAATGCAGGAAATGTTGACTTCAAGGGGGAGGGAGTTTGAACGACAGGTCAAACGTTTGGAGATGATATATTACGCACAGCAATTTTTCCAAGAGATTTCCCTAATTCCATGGTCCTGTCCATTAGTAAACTCCAATATCGGTAGTCAGATGGTTTTACATCCTTTATTTCTTTCTTTCATTCCCGTTTTATTTGAACAAGGAGACAAACATACCACATAATCACATTTGGTGCACACCTTGTATGTGTTTTCTGATAGACCACACACCAAGCGTACACTAGATACAATTTGTGACCACAATTGTGCAGAACTTCCTTGTAATCGCACATCTTCGCTGGCTGAAATGTAGGAAATAAATGTAATTTTGCTTGATTGGATGAAGGGGTTGTTAGGCTGAAGTCTAATGATTGCCTCAAATCAATTGTGGTCTGCAGTGGCTCTGATCATGCTTTCTTAAATACTTCTCTTGACAGAGCAAACGGGGCTTGATGATAAGATCCTAATGTAATGAAACATGCAATGACGAAGTGGTCTGCTCCTCTCCTCTTGAATTGTGAGCATAACCCCTTAAATGAGATAATAAGGTATGATGTAATCATACTGTAGACCCTAGCCCATTATGCCCAAAGGAAAAAACCGTTCGCTGTTGTGTAACCCAACAAGATATAAGGGCGATGGTCCATGGTTGAATGATCAAAGTAAAAACCAACCTTTGAAGGCATCCAGCTCAATTACCGAAACTGCTCTTCCGGCGGCAAGAACTGGAAGATTAGTTAAAATGGCAAAGGAAAAGAGAATGTAGGATAACTTACTATCATAGACATCAAAAATGCAAAGGGAGAGAGATAGAGTGCAGAACTTCACTTACTTAGGATTCACCAGTTATGGCTGGGATCCGTCCCATACCAAGAAGTCGCTTTTCAACTCCCTCCGCCATGCCCTGGCGGACCGTCATGGCGTTGTTTTGTTTTTGTGCATTTTATGGAGATTGAAATATCCAATCCCCAATAATGTAGTTAGCCAAAATGCAGGACTGGTGACTGAATATTCATATCATGTCTTGGCCTCCGTCCCAAGGAGTGAGGCTTGCCATTATTTACCTCCTCCCCAACGAGACCACTGAGACAACCACTAAATTCCATCTGCTCTGGGGGTTATTTCCTCCTCTTGGTTAGAGGATGTATCCCTTGCCTATGAATAATACGGAGCACACTAAATTCAGCACAATCTGGTCACCAGCATTGGTTGGAATCCTGGATGCTGATTGATGAATCCTCCCGAGGAACCAAGCCTCTCAATAGCCTATGAAAGGCGGACATGATGCTGATGTATTCCCTGCTTAAGCCTCCAAAGACTCATCGACACACCGCACGACTAGCCCAAATGCGGACGACACAATTCACAGAGGTATAGACAAATAATCACAACAACCCGGAACGTCATGGTTGTTGTCGTACAGGGAAAGTTACAGACGAACTTCCCAACATGACCTGATCTCCGTCTGAGGAAGTCGGAACAGGCACAAAAAAGGGACAGCCAACTTGACTTGGGCGCCATAGCCAGCACAAATTGGAAACCCGTGGTTGTCTATCAAGCTAACGCAGCGACACAAGACGGCTTTTTTCCCCAATTTCATCAGATTGGGAGCCAATTTGTTACGAGCGTATGCATCAAACCAAACAGAGAGGATTGAATCAAATATTGAAAATCTACGATGTAGATATTCGCAAAAGAAGAAAAAGAAAAGAAAAGAAACAAGGGGAAAAAGGGGGAAAGATTTTATGAAAAAAAAATCCTGCCTGCTATAGTCGATGAGGTAAAATAAGGAGGCAATAGACATGGTCAAATAAATTCGCTAACTTGCATCAAAAATCAATGCATTTCGAGGCAACAAAAATCAAGTCGAGTTGATTCACTACTGTCCAGCCAACCACGGGACATTTCGACAGCTTTGGGTCCTTGTTTATACATCCTCTAACTTTCCGATTCAGTTATTTCCGATTCGAAGATCATGCTATTCGATCTGTTCAATCCTCGTAACCCATCGAGGTCTTCGAAGATGCCAATCGCGTAGCCTGCTGCAATTGCAGCGTCGGCTGCCGTAATTTCGTACATTTTCGGACGTTCGATATATATCTGGATAATATCCGATTGGGGATGCATGCAAATATCACTGACTGATAGCCCTCCGTCGACTGTTAGTTCTCTCAACTTTTCGCCGATGTCCTTTTCCATTGCATTCAGAATCGTCTTGGTTTGTAAGCATACGGCTTCCAAATTTGCCCGGGCTATGTGTCCATGTTGCGTATGTTGAGAGATGCCGAAAATAGAGCCTTTCGCATCATCGATCCAGTAAGGAGCAAATATGCCGTTGAACGCAGTAACAGAGACACATCGCCACCGAATCAGGAACGGTGGCAGCTTCGTCGTTTATTGTTCGCGCATCCCTGAAAAAGCCTAAGTTGTTCATTAGAAAACTGACTTCACTTCCAGAAACAGCAATGCCTCCTTCTAAAGCATATACAGGTGATTCACACAGCTGATATCCAGCTGTTGCAGGCAGGCCATGCTTAGAAATTACAGGTCAATTTCCAACATTATATAAGAGGAAGCAGCCAGTCCCGTATGTATTTCTAGCTTGACCAGGTGAAAAGGCACAATGCCCAATCAATGCAGCAGATTGATCTCCGACAGCTCGTGCTTCTGATACCATGGCAGAGGGTTCTCTGCCATGGAGCCAAATGCCGATTCTTGGTAGACTTATTCTCGAACTGTCAAGCTCGAAGAAACTAAGCAAGGTATCATCATACTCGAGGGAATAGAGGTTTGTGAACTTTGTTCTTGAGGCGTTGGTCACATCTGTGACAAAGACATTAGCCTCTTTCCCGCCGATTAAATTGTGAGAAGCCAAGTATCAACGGTAGCAAATGCTAATCGACCGTCATCATATGCTTCTTTAATGTGGGGAACAGTGGGGAACATTTCGAAGAAAGTCAAACCAGCTTTGCAGAAGATGAACAAGTTGAGAGTGGCAGCCTGCAGAGTTCCTGCAGTTTGTCCGCTCCCTCTTACTGCTTCAGCTCTCTGACTAGGGAGGTGGTGCGCGTGTCTGGCCATGCAATGGCATTATGTAGTGGTTTTCCCGTTTCCCAATCCCATACAACTTTGGTTTCGCGCTGAGTAGTCACGCCTATTGTTTGGATATCCGAGATTGAGAATCCTTGAGAAACGATGGCTTTGGTTGTCTGGTTAATGCATTTTTCAGCCGAGGAGACTATTTCTTCTGGATCCTCTTCGTGCCATCTGCAAAATAAAGAAATGTATAACGTAAGTGTTGTCAGTTTCCACGCATATCTCATGTACGGTTTAACATTCTGGGGGGGAACATTAGCCATACCCTGAATGCTGACAGATTCTGTTCAGTTCCACCCGATGAGATACGACTGGATCCCCTTTGCCATCGAAGATTATAAACTTAGATGAAGTGGTGCCTTTATCGATGGCGCCAATATATCGACCTGGCCTACGCTGCTGTGGTTTCTCTGAAGGTTTCGGTCATGGCTTGGTTGGCTATCCGTATCGACGTCCGTGGATAGGATATGTTTGAGGACGAAATCACGCTGTGCAGAACTTTGCTCGGATACTGCTATTGGAGGTATGATACAGGTTGAGTTACTGGAGGGAGGTGGAAGAAAATGACGTGTTATCTTTGCAGACTAGGAAGAAAGGGGAGGGGAGAGTTCAGCGTGAGAGGAGAGGAGCCGCACGATGGAAGTGATAAGTTGACAAGGCAAGAGAATCAATGAATTGAAGAGAGGAAGAAGAAGAAAAGGAGGAGAGGTTAAGCAGAAGAGAAGAAGAGAAGAAGAGAGTCGATACTTGGCGAGCAGGAGGCAAGCATAGGTGGAAGGCATTGATGTTCAAAACCTGGCGGAGCTGTTTTTGCTCGCTGCTGTGTGGGGAAACCACCCAGCAACATTTCTGGGCTCGGGTTAAGAACCCTCAATCACTTAACCGATAATATTCAACATGTTCAACATATCACGTTCATATCGAGGGAAATGCGGTTAAAGGGAGGAGGATGGTCCTGCGATGCGTCTAAGAGACGGACGGGGGATGAGACGAGCTGTGGCGGCATCTAATTAATAACACCAGCGTTTGTTCATGCGCACACAGAGGTTTTTAGAAGTGAAGTTACAGACGAAGAGACTGGCCCGTAACTAACTATCGCGCGTCTAGTCACTTGCATATTTTACGCGGCCCAGGGATCAACCTTCTACAACTTAAGCTACGCTTGGTATTCCTTATTTTATGAGCATAAGGCTAGGTTCCCCTTCCCCCCCCCCCCCCTTCTCGCTCGGAAAACAGTTAGAATGGTAATATGGGACTGTAAACTAACTGACGCTACCAGATTGGACAGATAACTAAATGCCTCCGTGGATGTGCTGCAGCTTCAATCGCGTGGTGCTATGCTAGCGCATGGGGTGTGGATGTAAGCAAATGGCATTGTATTACACAATGTATGCGATTGTCCCGATTGCCTATACCTATTATTGCGTGCATGAGGACCGAATGCGGTTCCCTGGTTGAATAAAATAAAATAAAATAAAAATGTAAGGCAAACTGCCCGTCCAAACAGTTTGTGATCATCCAGCTGAACCAAGACTATTTCATTTTAGAACTAAAATAATTTCCAGGGTGCAAAGAGTGACTCAAGCGAGAGAGTATGTCTGGCTCCAAACCGTGGAAATTCTTATCTGCAACTAACTGTCGGACAGGAGGTTGTTCTCTATTAGTATTTTTTTTTTTTTTTTTTTTTTGTTATCTATAGAAGTCTGTATGATTTTTAGACCACGTCTCAATTATGTGTGCTTATGCTACCTGTCAATAATGTTTCATAAATCTGTTTCCAGTGACAGTCTGTCAAATAAAACCCGGCTCAGAAAGACTACATCTCATCATCGTCATCATCATCCTCTGGGTTTTCTCCGCATTTTCACTGCTCGGGAATTTCCGCCGCGAGAACCGGATAGCTCACGTAATTGGATGCAACCTAAAAATTGTGCATAGCCTCGATAACGACTGCTTCTATATCCAAAGATTCCTATGGAGAGTTTGGGTCTAGAAGCAAATATATAAGAGAAAACCGATTTTAAGCTCAGATATGGACACCGTTTCTGAGCTCTCGGGTTGCGATCTGACTGGATGAATTGTGCAGAAGACGATTAAGCAATTAACTTCAAGTCAATTCAACGGTTGCTGTCAACCAGGTTAGTTAGTAAGTTACTCGGAATTAAAGTTAAATATTAGCTCGCGCTTTAATATGCATAACTTTTTCACCCGTCAATTTATCACCGACCGTTGCTTTCAACATTCACCCATCACCAGCGTAGTGTTGCTAAGGGAAAGAGAGAGTTCCCACAAGATGTTTCATATGTGCCGGTTCACTCAACGGATTGGAATGGAAGTCATTTTCTCTGTCTACTCCGTTGGGCCGTTTCCCGTTATTGTCGCTCTCTTAAAACCTGGTTCACCTTCCATCCCATTCGTGCGGCGGCTGGACGACTCAATGCGCGTAAACAAGCCAATATAACACCCGCATGTAGGATCTATTGACCGTTTAATGTATCCGGACCGGGTGTGGCCATCATCTGTTACAGAAATTGCAAGATGCTCCGTGATCAGAGAATTCTTCAACCATAACTTCGCCAACTGAGCTGTCATTGGCAAACCTTGGATAATTTTTGATTAGTGGGTTGAGGGGAATAACAAATATTGAAGATGCGCAGAACTGTGCTTCAGGGAAACCTTCTGTGCTCTATCTAATCATACAATCCCCAGTATAGGGAGAAGCAAGAACAATTCAGGCCGTCAACTCTGGGCCTTCTGTGGATGAGTGCTGGACGTTTGATCCAACTATCGTCACCAGGCTTTGAGGAAGGCAGAGCATTGAACAGCCGTTACACTTGCTAAAGAGAGTTGCAAGTTCGCGTCACCAAGAAGAATAGAAAAGATACAAATATATCCAAATGAGATGATGGTATAGTAACTAGAAATACAAACGAAATTTGCAGCGTCTTGCTCGTGATTGGTTATTTTTCGCTTTTTTTGTCCTTAAAGTTTCTGTTCTTTAATCTACGAAAAATAAAAAAAAAAATAAAAAAATGGGAGGAGAATTAAACAAGAATAGACGGACCCAAGGATTAGGGATAACCTTGCGGATCACAGGCGGGTGAGAGATACTTGAACCTATGACATGCTCTTCCTCAATTAACATTCAACAAATTTACTCCTCACTGGACCCGGCCTCCTTAACTGCCTTGGTCTCTTGTAGCCGCTGCTCCAAGTGCTTCCATTTCTCAACGAGGTCTGATCGGGATTCGTAGTGCATGTACAAGTTCTCGCGGGCAACCAGACTCAGAACGACGCTGGCGCCGACCACGAACGTCAAGACGAAACGATACATGTGGTACCACGATGGTGTCCAGCCCTTCACCGCGGCGCGGGCATCGTTGTAGTACAGGAAAGTGAAGGCGCAGAATTGAGAGATCAGGGCGTACTCAACGGGCATGAAGAGGGTAGGCCAGGCGACAGCAGGCGCGACGACGCCAAAAGCATACCTCTTGTAACCAACATGACCACCGTAACCAGCCCATTCCAGACCCCAATGGATGGCGCCAAGGAAGGAGAGGATCTATTACAGATATCAGACACAAGACACACAATCGTACGCGGATTTAGTCGGCAGAAGAGGGTATGGACTTACAACTGCACCATATCCAATCTGGACAGGTTCAAGGACGCCCATCAGCATCTCAGATGTTGCGCCAGATATAAAGTGACCGGTGCCGGTAGCAATGGCATTGTTCATTTCCCAGGAGAGAAAAGAGGTTCCGAGAGAAGTAGCAAGGTATGGAAGGACGCCGGCCATTCCAAGAAAGAGAGCTTCTTTGGGAACGTCCTTGAGGCTGAAGGTGTCCTTGATGATTTTCTACAAAACGTCGGAAACGGCAGATATCAGTATGCGCCCAACAAGAACCAAGTGTTTTTTAGTCCCTTTTCATTTTTTGGAGAGCGCCGGGATTGAGGATAAGACGCACCATGTCGCTCCTTACACCAGCCATCATATCGATGTCCTCCTCCTCCACGGCTTTTGGCACTGCATCGCTCGTTTTGACAGCAGCCGTCGAGGCATATCGAAGCAGAGCGGTGGCGGCAGGCTTGCGGGCAGCCAGGGCTAGCGATGTGGATCGAGGGAAAGGAGGTTGACGGACAGATGATGTCAATGGGGCCTTGAATATGGTGCTGGAAAAAGCCGAGCGTGCCATTGAGACATTGGAGCTAGATGCTGCCCTCAGAATGGAGCGAGCGGCTGCTGTTCGGTAAAACATGGCGGAGACGGCGGGACCAGGAGGAGACTAAGCGGGATTTTCAGAGGCAGGATAACCTGTTGCGAAGGGTGTGAAAGGGAGGACGGCTTCTAGTTGCCCTTGAATAAAGCGTAAGTGCTCCTGCGAGAGGAGGTGGAGAGGGAAGTATACAGGAATTGGCCGTGAGGGTAGAGTGGTGAGACTTATATTGACGGTTGTTGTTGTATATGATGTTGCTCGGAAGCGACTTGGGGGGTGGTGTAGGAGGTAATCAAGCCCCTCGGCTAGTTAAGTAACTAACGAACTAGTTTAACTAACTTTTAGTGGACGGGCGGCATGGCAGATCACGTGGAGAGGGTTTGAGGAAACGAACTTGCGCGATTTCATATACCACGACAACATGGATTTGATAACTACTAGTTATCAGGCCGATTGCCGTTGAAGAATACTAACGGAGCTGTACCCGTATTGTAGAAGAATTCTCCCAAAAGTCTAGGGTAAAGAGACATGTCGAGTGGCTGCAGACTCCGAACCAAGCTTTACTTTTTATTTTTATTGTTAGTTTATTTTTTGCATGCATTCCTCTCAGAAGCATGCATATACATAAATTTGTATCGATACGGCGTTACACTAAGAGGACAGAATCCAATAGTGATGGCAAATTTCCTCGAGATGAAATGTCAAGAAACAGGTTCTGGGCGGATAATTTAATCAATTTGTTGGTTCCTGCGGGCCTTGTTAGGTAGTTACACATCGGGTTCTCTGAACGCTTGGTCCTCATTCGAGCAACTTCCTGGTGACGTAAACTCTCCTTTATCTTAAACTATTTACTCTTGATTTGGACCATCTGCCGGCCCCAACACCACCACCACCACCACCACCACCACCACGACGCCACGGATATTTGGTTCACTTAGGACTGTGAATGTGTGTGCTGGGAACTGTGGTATGAGTGCTGTGTCGCTCTTCAAGGCACACTGTTAAGCCCGAGGCCAACACCTTTTTTATAAGGTGCTCCCAGCAAACCTCAAAGAATCCGCCACAGTGGCAGGTTACTCTCTCCTCTCTTCCGTTTTTCTTAATTGAAAGTCCTGTGTGGGTTGCAGTGTTGACCGTCGACTTAAGGAGGAAAAATAATTATTGCCCCCCCTTGGGTCGAACCCGTTTGTATCATCTCATCAAGAACTAACGTGTCTCGCACCTAGAAGGATTACTGTATCGTTGACTAGATCTATTTCGATTCCCATGCTTTGCGAATTGAGAATTGTCCCCCCAAGCCTCCAACCATTCCATCTCTACCTACCCGATTGAATTTCCTCCCGCCGTGAAGGCGAAGGGTAACGCCCACCAACCTCCGCCATGTTGGAAGGCTTGGTTGCCAACCTGTTAAACAGGTTCCTGGGCATGTACGTCAAAAATTTCGATGCAGGACAACTTAATGTCGGAATTTGGTCTGGCGACGTGAAACTACGAAACCTTGAACTGCGGAAGGAAGCTCTGGACCAACTCCGTCTTCCCTTAAATGTCGTTAAAGGCCATCTTGGAGAACTTACATTATCGATTCCATGGTCAAATTTAAGGGGAAAACCGGTGAAGGTCGATATACAAGATGTCTTTCTTCTCGCAGCACCCAAGGAAGATGCCACCTACGACCCGGAGGAGGAGAGACGACGACAGCATACGATCAAGATGGAAAAGCTCGAAAGCGCGGAAATACTGAAGGAACAACAGAATATCGATGGGATGTCACAAGAGGAACGATTAAAAAACCAGAGCTTTACTCAAAGTCTGACGACTGCGATTATCGACAATTTACAGGTGGTCATCAAGAACGTGCATTTCCGCTATGAGGATTCCATAGCTGCACCCGGACATCCTTTTGCCTTGGGTATCACCGTCAAGGAGCTCAGCGCTGTCAGCACAAATGGTGAATGGAAACCAACGTTTGTACAGTCTACCTCAGGGACAAGCCATAAATTGGCTGTTCTTGAAGCTCTCGCGATTTATTGGAATACAGACGTTGAGCTATTTGGCTCCGGGTCTGGGGGTGACGCTGAAGCCATGGGCCTAAATCATGCGGAGTTGATGCATAAACTGAGGACCTCTATCGAAGAAGGAGAAAATAACCAGTTCATACTGAAGCCAGTGAGCGGCAGAGCGGGTCTCGAGATAGATAAAACCGGACGGTCAGATCGACCGAGAATCAAGGCGAGGCTTCTTTTCGATGAACTTGGCTTCGTCCTCGATGACAATCAGTACCGTGACGCTCTGATGCTTGTTGATCTCTTCCACTATTTTATTAGGCATCAAGAGTACAAGCAGTACCAACCTAAAGTCAGGCCCAAAGAAGACCCCAGAGCTTGGCTACAGTTCGCTGCAAATTCTGTTCTAAGCAAAATCCATGAACGGAATCAGCGCTGGACGTGGGATTATATACGACAGCGAAGAGATGACCGAATTGCGTATATCAAGTGTTTTAAAATGAAAAAGAGAGAGGAAGTCATGTCACAAAGTGATGCTGCGGAGCTTACTCGCCTGGAAGAGAAACTCTCTTATGAGGACCTCAGATTCTGGAGATCGTTAGCCCGAAACCAATTGAGAAAGGAGAATGTTGGGATTAAAAAAGTTGTCAAACCCCAAACTTGGTCTGAATGGATGTGGGGAACCAAGAAGCAAGAGGAGAGCACGACAATGACAGAAGAGCAGAAACGGGAGCTTTATGATGCAATCGACTGGGACGAGAAAAAGGCTGTCGCTGAGAGCATCGACCTCCCGAGAGATTCCGTGAAGTTCCAGGTAGATTCCAGCCTTAAAACTGGCAGCTTTACTTTGAAACGAAATTCTCAAGGAAAAGCAAATGAGGTTCTGAAATTAGTCTTTGATAATTTCCGGGCGAAGGCGAAGCAACGACCCGATTCCTCTGTCATAGACATTGACCTGGGCGGTCTTCGACTATACGATGGGACGACTAAAGGGACGCGTTTCCCACAAATAGTTCGAGTCAAGGATAGACACCCGGAGCCTGAGGATGAGCAATACGGCAAGGCAGAAAATCAAGATCTTGAAGCACAGGAGGAAGATGCTCTCGGTTTGGATGATAGCCTGTTCCATTTCCAGGTAGAAAGGAACCCTCTTGACGGCAGCGCAGATTCCGCTATCAAAATGAAGCTGAAGAGTATCGAGATCATTTACAACCCCGCGGTTCTAGTTGAAGTAGTTAGATTTTTTCGACCCCCTGAGAGACACATGGAGTCAATTGGTGCCTTGCTTGAAACTGCAGGGGCCACTGTTGAGGAGATTCGGCAACAAACCCGAGCAGGTTTGGAGGTGGCACTGGAGGAGCATAAGACAATCAATGCCCAGCTTGATATCTATGCACCTCTGATCATAGTCCCTGAAAGCATCACAACAGAGAGCACCGTGTGTTTGATTGTCGATGCCGGTCATGTCAGTGTTACCAGTGAATTGGTATCCAAAGAAACTCTCAAAGATATCCAGAACAAACATACAAAGCAATTCAGCGAGCAAGACTACAGGCAACTCGAAAGCCTGATGTATGATAAGTTCCTCCTGAAGTTGGATTCTACCCAAGTCCTCATTGGTCCTGGAATCGAGGCTACCAAAGCACAACTAACCTCCGGTATCGCATCAAAAAATTTCCATATCATCGACCGTATCAATATGGATTTTATGCTTGAGTTATGCATCCTTCCGAAATCCACGGACCTTACGCGAACTCGAGTCTCGGGGCATTTGCAGGAATTGCACGCTTCTATATCTGATAAGAAGTATAAAAATCTCATGAAGTTAATCGACATTGCGGTGCCTCATATAGACGAGCAACCCAAAACCAGCTCTAAGCCACAGGAGAGCTTAAGACCAAGGGCTGGGACGACTGCATCGAACAGGAGACGTAGATCATCGTCTTTTCAACTGACCCGTCCCAAGGAGTTCCCTGTCGATGATATGGATTTGGATGTCGAAGAGTCGCGTAGGCAGGCCGTTGAGAAGGGGCCTACAAAGCCTACGAATATCAATCATCGGACTTTTGAATTCAAATTTACCGTTGACACACTTCGAGGATCGCTTTATCGCTCTGACCCTCATGACGAAAGTACCGATAAATTGCTGGCCGAACTAGTGGCGAAACATTTCCATTTAGACTATTATCTTCGCCCATACGATATGGTTGCGCAAATTCTCCTGAACTCTCTTAGTGTTGATGACTATATTGAGGATTTCCCGGCTCCCGAGTTCAAACAAATCATATCTTCCAAAGGCTTCGATGCAAACGAAGAAAGGGACCTAGTCAATCTTAAATTTGTCCGTGTCAATCCAAATTCGCCAGAGTTTATGTCGACCTATGATGGAACAGAAATAAATTTAGATCTTTCCATCTCCACAATTAATCTCGTCGTCACAAGGAAGACGCTTCTTACGCTCTTGGATTTTGTCCTTGTTACATTTACAAACCCAGATAACAAGGATAACACCAATATACAGAAGCAAGTTGAAGTGGACACGCCATTGCCGAAGGATCACAAGGACGAACGGAAACAGACGGATACAGGGAAAATCCGTATTAAATCGAAACTGGAGAGAGTTGTTCTCATCCTCAATGACGACGGAATCAGGCTTGCTACACTAAGTTTAAATACGGCCGATGTTGGCATCTTCTTAATTGACCCAACAATGCGAATTGAGGCCCGAATAGGGAGTTTGACGCTCTTTGATGATATCAATGGTACCCATTCGACGGCTCGGAGGCTAATGAGTATCGAGGGAGATGACTTCGCAGATTTTAAATACCAGACATTTGATCCCGAATCTGGGGATTATCCTGGATATAACTCTGAGGTGTTTCTACGTTCTGGATCGATTAAAATAAATTTCATTGAGGGCCCTTATCAAAAAATCGTCGGATTCTTGGTCAAATTTGGAAAAATGCAGGCGATTTTTAATGCTGCACGTCAAGCTGCAGCCAACCAGGCAAACCAGATCCAGGAAACCGCTTCGCTTATGCGCTTTGATGTTATCGTTAAAACACCAATCCTTGTATTCCCTCGAATCACTGAGGAAGATAGGCCCCGAGATTTTGTGACTGCACATTTGGGAGAAATATACGCTAATAACAAGTTCAGCCCCCTTAATGAAGAAAGAAGTAGCCCAAGCGTTAACGTGATCTCAGCTGGAGTTAGACATATTCGGCTAACTTCGAACCTCTGGTATGAGGATGATTATTGCGAAGAATTACAGATGATTGAGAAGGTGGACCTAGATTTTAACATTCTCTACCTTGACCACCAGGCAGGCGTGCCTCGTCCGGATATTGAAGTTGATGGGTCAATGTCTCCCATCAACCTTCGAATTTCTCAACCGCAGCTTAAATTCTTATTAGAGTTGTCCAGAACGATCCCAGCAGCTCTGATGCAAGATCAAGACCTTGAAGAGGAAGAGGCGATTGAGTCCCTTCCACCCTCCGCCACGGAGTCAGCAATCTTGGCCACCCCTGGGGCCGGTGAAGATGCAAGCCAGAAGTCACATCAAACCAACAACGGTATATTTGAGTCAGAACCGTGGATACGGCTTGACATGGTATTCCGGGTCGAAACAATCGGCTTAGAGCTAATTCTCGCGAAAGATGGTCAGCCAGTTGGTCCTTTGGATGAAGCAAGTTTGTCTAAATTTTTCCTGAACAATACAAATGTCAAGCTTCGAATGATCAGCGACGGCTCACTTGAGTCTGAACTCCTTGTCCACTCATTTAACATTCGGGATAGTCGAACCAGAGAAACAAATCGCTTCCGCAAAATCATGTCTCTGATCAATACGGATGTCCAGCAGCAGTTTATGGCCAGTGTATCGATCTCTGGCGGTCAAGACAAGCACCTTATCGCGATGCTTACTATTGATAGCCCAAGGATTATTTTTGCTTTGGACTACCTGTTCGCATTACAATCATTTGCAACCGCGGCTTTTGCGACCGACGAAGTACCTGCAATCGACCACGAGTTGGACGAGTCAGAGGATATGGAATCGGAAATCCCATCTCCTGGTATTCCAATGAAACCCACTCCCTCTTCGTCCAACAATGGATCAAATGCTATGACATTTTCTTTCGGAGTCAACGTAGTTGATGCCCAAATGATTTTAGTGGCCAATCCAACCATTGCCAACACTGAAGCGATAGTTTTAGGTTCAAAGCAATTAAGGTTTGCACAGCAGAATGCCTCAACGCTAGAAATGACCAAAATCGGCATGTTCCTCTGCCGAATGGACAAATTTGAGACCAACCGACTTCGAGTGCTAGACGACTTCGCGATTGCTCTTTCCATGGATACGAAGTCCAAAGGGAAATGCTCCTCAATGACAAGAATCGACGTACACGTTGACCCCTTGGTTCTTCGATTATCGCTCCGAGATATTCTGCTCGCGATTCAAATTATGAACAAGACCTCTGAGATGAGGAATACAGGAGGTGAACAAGAAGATTCCGATTCGAAGAGCACCAAGGATCAGAAGTCTATAAAGTCTGCCCGACCAAGACCTATCGGAGGCAGACCCTCTTCTTCTCTTGTTGTCAGCACGGGTTCACAACATCCATCCGTGGATACGGACAAAACTCAACAGTCAATAATCATGAAACGAGAGGAAATGACCGCCCTGGTTGATGGTATTAGAGTAATCCTTATCGGAGACTTGCACGAGTTACCGCTGCTTGATTGGAGTGTCAAAGAATTCAAGATGGATGTTCGAGACTGGTCTGGCAATATGAGTGCCGATACCTCAGTTGACACCTTTCTCAACGTTTACAACTTTTCCAAGTCAGCTTGGGAGCCGCTGATTGAGCCATGGAAATTTGGGTTCCACATGGCGAAGGAAATGAATCCCGATCTTCTCTCAATCGAAGCTTTTTCGCATAAAAACATGGAGCTCACTATTACGTCTGCAACTATCGCTTTGGCTTCAAAATCGTTCCAGTTCCTATCTACGGATGAAGATGTCTTGTCAAAACCTCAGGGAGCAGATGCCCCTTATAGGTTACGGAATTATACCGGGTTTGACCTTAGAGTTTGGGCTGATGTTGGAAAAAGCGGAGAAGGGCCCGCAGTAATGCTACACGACGGCGAAGAATGCCCCTGGAGATTCGAAGACGCAACCACCATGAGGGAAAATCTCTTGCCAGAAGGCACAGCTGGCATGGTGGGAGTAAAGCTTGAAGGCAGTGGATTCGACACAATTAACAGGATCCCTGTTATTCGGGAAAGGGAAACGCTATACAACTTAAAACCGAAACAAGACAAAGTGCTCCACAAGCTTCTCATTGAAGTTAGGCTCGCGGCCGACAATGTTAAGTATATAACTTTCCGTTCACCACTGCTCGTTGAGAACAAAACACAGATTCCAGTGGAGCTGGGTGTTTTCAGTCCCGAGGATGGTCACCTCCTAAAGATTGAAAAGATACCACCTGGAGATGCCCGACCTGCTCCTGTAGGAGCTGCATATATGCATTCTTTAGTTATACGGCCTGACGAGGGGTTCGGGTATGACTGGTCTAACGAAAGGCTATTCTGGAGGGATTTATTAAAGAGGCCTACTCGAACTCTTAAGTGCAACAGCGAAAACGGGCAACAGGCACCGCCGTTCTACTTCCAAATGAGTGCAAACTTTGATATCAAGGATCCTATTCTTAATGTTTATCCATATATGCGCATTCGTGTCTCCGCTCCCATCGAAATCCAGAACCTTCTCCCCTACGACTTCAAGTACCGCATCTATGACAAAAGTACGCGGAAAGATTGGACAAATTTTCTTCGCAAAGGTGGTATTAGTCCAGTACATGTTGTCGAACTGTCACATCTCCTACTACTCAGCATTGATATGCAAGACACCGCCTTCAGAAACTGCGAGTTTGCTATAATAAATGGGAATGCACAAGAAGACTTTCGGAGAGAATCGATTCTTAGAATCCAGGATGACCGCGGCACGGAATTGAAACTTGGGCTGCATTATTTTTCTGTCCCGGATAGTGGCGGAGCGTTCAAGGTTTCGATATTCAGCCCGTATCTTATTTTGAATAAGACAGGTTTAGATCTTAACCTTCAGAGCAAGAGCATGTTCCAATCAACAAAGTCCGCTGGACAAGCTATCAGGACCGATGGACGGAGTGGAGTTCGCAGGGCGCTGCCATACATGTACTCGTATGCTACAAGCGATCGCAGAAACAGGTCGATTCTACGAGTGGAAGGCTCTTCCTGGAGCAAACCGCAAAGTTTTGAGGCTATTGGGAGTACTTTTGAAGTCATTCTGCCCTCTTCAAATGGAAGGGCCGAGTACCATGCTGGTGTTTCCGTCGAGGAGGGCGAAGGAAAGTACAAACTGACTAAAGTGGTCACTGTTGCACCTCGCTTCATCCTGAACAACAAATTGAACGAGGATCTGATCGCTCGCGAACCCAGTTCCTCAACTGTGATCAGCCTCAGGGCGGGCGATTTGGTACCGCTTCATTTCTTACGACATGCTCCCGAAAAGCAACTCTGCCTTTGTTTCCCCGGTGTAAATAACCAGTGGTCATCTCCTTTCAATATCTCGGATCTTGGAACCGTTTATGTAAAGTTGGCCAAGGCGAATCAACGCCAAAGACTCATACGAGTAGAAGTACTCATGGAAGCAGCCACAATATTTCTTCATATCACCAGTGAAACCCGGCATTGGCCTTTCTCCATGCGCAATGAAAGTGACACGGAATTTGTGTTTTTCCAGGCTGTAAGTATAAGTGCTCCAAAGGCTTTTAGGAATTAGAATGCTAACCATTGCTGCTAGAATCCTAATCTAGATGAGGATGAGGACTATCGGGAAACAGGATGGCGTCCAATCCGGTATCGCCTCCCCCCTAGAAGTGTCATGCCCTACGCATGGGACTATCCAGCCGCCAAAAGCAAGTCTCTTGTTCTGCTGTGTCGTGGCAAAGAACGGCATATCAAACTAGCGGAAATCGGAAACTTGATTCCAATGAAAGTGCCTCCATTAGAAGAATACGGTCCATCAAAGATTATTGATCTTAATATCTCGGCAGAGGGCCCTACGCAGACCCTGCTTCTGTCAAACTTCAAGCCTTCCAAGAGTATGTATCGCCAACAACATTCCCTATCCTCTCAGAGCAGCCTCTCCTCCGGTTTTGAAGTGAAAGACATCAAGTCCGACATCACTCTTAAGACGCAGCTTCGATTAGGTGGTATTGGAATATCCTTGATCAACCAGAAAATGAAAGAATTGGTTTACTTCACCTTCAGGGATATCGAGTTCAGATTTAGTGAGTCAAAACTATACCAGACCGTTAATACAACAATAAAATGGATCCAGGTCGACAACCAACTATACGGAGGTATCTTTCCCATGTTACTCTATCCTAGCGTTGTTCAGAAAACTGGTAAAGAAATGGAGGCACATCCAATTTTCCACGCCAAGGTTACCCGTGTTAAAGACGACTCATATGGTGTGCTGTATATCAAATATGCAACGGTACTCTTGCAGCAAATGACTTTGGAACTTGACGAGGACTTCATTTTTGCAATGTTGGATTTCGTTAAAGTCCCTGGCGCGTCGTGGTCTGAGGAAAAGGAAGGAAGGCTCTGCGATGAAGATCTCGATATCCCGGAGCCACAAGCGGAGGATCATGGAAATGATGTCTATTTTGAAGTATTGCATCTCCAACCTATGCAGTTAGATCTCTCCTTCGTGCGCACCCAACGTGTGAACGTGGAGGATACGATGGAGTCATCCAATCCACTCATGTTTTTCGTCAATGTCATGACAATGTCCATAGGGAATGTGAATGATGCTCCTGTCCGATTAAACGCTTTGATGCTGGAGAATGCGAGAGTATCTATGACTGCGCTGCTTTCCAGCATCACAAACCACTATACCCAGGAATTTATCCGCCAAATTCACGTTGTCCTTGGTTCTGCAGATTTCTTAGGAAATCCTGTGGGGCTGTTTAACACGGTCAGCTCAGGTTTCGTTGACATCTTCTATGAACCATATCAGGGACTTGTCATGACGGATCGACCACATGAACTGGGCATTGGAATTGCAAAAGGGGCTACAAGTTTCGTCAAAAAGTCCGTTTTTGGACTTTCGGATAGCATGGCTAAATTTACCGGAAGCTTGTCAAAAGGCCTGGCGGCCGCTACCCTCGATAAAGAATTCCAAGATCAACGACGAATGGCACGAACCCGTAATCGGCCTAAGCACGCACTGTACGGTGTCACGTCTGGTGGAAATGCCTTTGCCCAAAGTATGGCCAGTGGTATAGGAGGCCTCGCACGCCATCCTCTAGAAGGCGCCGAAAAGGAAGGGCTCCAGGGCTTTATAAAAGGAGTAGGAAAAGGGGTTTTAGGGCTCGCGACAAAGCCTGCTCTAGGTGCTTTTGATCTTGCCTCTAGTGAGTTCATAATTTCCACAACCTTTCAAGACTATTTAATACTAACAAAATAATTTCAGATCTCGCTGAAGGAGTTCGGAACACTACCACTGTTTTTGATTCTGGAGGGTTAGAACGCGTCCGGCTTACCCGATTCATCGGCATGGATGGAATTGTTCGGCCTTATTCACAACGGGAAGCACTTGGCCAATTCTGGCTCAAAACTACAGACGATGGCAAATACTTCAACGAAGACTATCTCGCGCATCTCGAGTTTCCGGGAAAGGACATGTTTATCATGCTAACGTATAACCGAATTATGCTTATTCGATCTAAAAGGTTGACGGCGGAGTGGGATATCAAGTTAACCGATATTCAAACCATCTCCAAGGAGAGGACAGGAATGGGTATCACTCTCAAGGGTGGTGCAAATGGTCCATTTATACCCGTCCAGGATGAGAGCGCCAGAAATTGGCTATATAAGCAAATTGCGATTGGTATGTTTTGAATTCTCCACTATTTCTTAAGCTTGGCTACTCAACGAGACCGGCCTGTTTTCTGGACAACTTTGCTAATAGTTTTACTTTCCCCTTCTTAGCTGTAAATGCGTTTAATGAGAAGTACAGTGCAAAAGGATAAAATAAATATGGATGCTATGGACGAACATCATGATAAAAATAGTCATTGGAAGCAACGGAAGAACCGGATGAAAAACATTGAAAATAATTTGCATAGATAATTACCCCTTTCGCGAGTTATTATTGTTCTTTTCCTTCTTACTTATTACTATTTCGTCTATTTCGTGAAACATGCATTATCATGTTTATCCCGTGTTTTCTTTAATACCTCACGTTGTCGCAATTTGGCGTAGATAGAATCACCAGCCTCCTTTCCCGACTTTTTAAGTGTTTAATGAATTTTGGACCCTCAACTCAGCATTGGGTTAATGCGGAGAAAATGATGCAAATAATTAGATTTTTTCGTGAACCACATGCCAGAACGACCATTAAGACCTAATTCACAATTCAAATGGTGAATTAACGTTATCCAAGCAAGTAGCAATCTTTCGAGAAGCTGTCAGCATTGCATAGATATTATCATACGGTCTATTAGTAGACATATCCCCCATCGGGGAAACGACATAAAAAGTTCTACTACAACCAAAACTTCAACCTTTCCCGAAAAGCCCAGTGGTATCAAAGAAGGAGAAGATTTCAAAAGCACAAATCACTTGCCCTCTGCGCGAGCTACAAGACCATTATCCAACCCAAGCGGCTCCCACACGTCTCTTGCCTTTTTATTCTGCGCCCAGACAACATCTCCTTTGAGATATACAAGCACTCCGCCCTTCCCATTGGCACTGGCCGTGATGCGAAATAATGGCAGACCGCTTTGAACATGCGCTTCACGTAAGGGTATCATGAGAAGCCCCTCATCCGCACACCATTCTTCCACGACGTCTTTGAAGGTGGGTCCCTCGATGTGCTTGGAAGCTGGTGTTGGTAGGGGTTTGGAAGTATTTGGTGGTGCTTGTGCTGATGACGACTTGTTCTTGATGTGCTCTCGCAGTCCTCTTTGCTGTTGATTCTGCATGCTTGTGGATGGAGGGGGTAGCGCTGTCTTCGCTCTATCCCCCAGGTCGAGGGCAAGGTTCATCATTTCAAGTCCACGTTCCCATTCCTGAGTAACTTCGTCAACTGCGTTGATTTCATCGGGTATCTGTGTCTTCCACCATGAGAACCATTGGCCAACTTCTTCATAGTTTGGATCTGAGGTTAGCCAGAGATGTAACACAGCATGCCATTTTGGGAAAAATTCAGCAGTAAGAAGCAGAGCAATGACGGTCGGCTTGAAGTAATCTTTCCATTTCAGAATATCTTCAAAGGAGTCAAGGTTTTGATCTCGTGGGTTCACTTCAAATTCTTCACGGAGGTGTTTGCCTAGTCGCGGTAGAAGATGATTTCGTAATGTTATGTCAAATTCTGAGCCAAGTGCTTCTTTCCAGAACTCAATTCCTTCCGGGAGTCCCCGACCCAGGTCCCAGGTATCTAGCACAACACGGAATTTGCGTTTCGCGTCGGATAGGAGGCCTGTCGGCGCTTTGGGATTTGTGTGTCGTTCGTCCAGGTATCGTAACCAGTCAAATAGCCACCACGGAAATTGGGATGACTGAGAGGTAGTCCCGTTTCGTTTCTTATTGCTTCGTGGTTTCCATTCCTTGATTGCGGTGCTGAGTTTTGGGGCAACTAGCTGGTCGAGAACATTCGAGCAAATAAATTCTGGTAATACATCTTTCCATGCATCTATAAGTGCCGTTGCAGCAGATGGGTCCTGCACATCCCAGTCATTGAGGATAGCTGAACGAACTCGTGGAAGCCATAAAGTATATAGCATAGTTTCGTAGGGCGTAGTTGAATGCCGTTGCCTTCCCTCATCCTCCTGTTTGCTGCGAGGTTTGCGAGATAGGATACTTCGGAGGCGTTGAAGATTGGATACCAGATAGGCTGGATCTTTCAGCGGCTCCCATTCTTCCATGGACTCCCTAAATAAAGGGTGGATTGCGGCTACAGCCACCTCAGACAGTCCATACTCATCAACAAAACTTTCGAACTGAATTTCCAACAACTCCAATCTTTTCGTGACTTGCTCCCATCTTATAAGTAGGTCGTCATCAAGACTGAAATTCCCCAGCGCCTCCACAGCTGACGTTAATGCAGATAATTGCACGATCTTGTCCTGTTGTGTATCTATCTCTTCCACCACCTGGTTTTCCTCAAGCTCCACAAACTCTCTCCTTTCTGTGAGTGCCTTCCATTCATCCGCAAAGGCTTCGAGGTCATTCCTTGCTCTCCGGGCTATCTTTAGAGCTTCACTTTCATCAGCGCTCACGAACTCCAGCGGCGTCATCAAACCAGCTGTAGACGTTAACAGTTTCTGTTCCTTCCCCGTCGCATCGATCAACGACTTCAGGATATTAGGGACCTCCAATCCAGCTGCATCCACCTCAATCTCGCGCGCAGTTCTAAATTTCGGCTTCGCAGGACCCTTTGGGGTACTTGTTCCACTCCTACTCTCCTTCTGTTTCTCCTTCCGCCGCCGTCTTAAGTTTCGCTCCTCATCCGAACTGTCTTCCAATACCTCTCCTCTCCTGGCGGCTTCGCGCTTCGCTTCCTCTTTTGCCTGTTTAGATTTCTCCTTCACAGCGCCCAAGCCAATTCCCTGAGGTCGTAGCACGGTCTCAATCGGTTTCAGAATTCCCTGGCCACCAGCGCCCAATCCTTGACCCTCCTTGTAGCCCATCTTGGCCATCATTCGCGCAGCAAACGAGTTTGCGCCCCCAGCAAGCCCGGTTTTGCCCGCCCGGTTCTGTCCCTTGGGGGTGGAATTGCCGTTCGTCCATGATGGGGAATTCTTAGATCTCATGTTTGTGGAAGGTTGCGGGGAGGGTGAGCGGGTTTTTGTTGGAGCAAATCCTCGAACACTGTGCGTTGGTTTCAAATCTGCTTCATCCTCATCATCATCATCATCGCCATGGGATCTAATATCGTTGATCTTGCGCTTCTGGCCAGCAAAGGAAGTTCGGGGTAACCACTCCATGGGCATGATAGCGGACGGAGAGGTACAGGAAATGGTAGGATGATACAATCCGAGATTTATTCAATCAGATTTATTATTTTGATGGCTATTATTGGACATAAACACAGCGCGAACTAAAGAACCGGATGCCCAAATAACAAAATCTAGCATCCTTTTAGCCCTTTCTTTGTGTTTGCTGTCTTTATCAGTTCTCTGGTTGTCGCTCTTCAAGGTGTCAAACAGCCGAATAAGCAGCTATCTCGGGGAAAGATAGTTCCGACGCCGAAAAATGGCTGAGTCATTGTGTTTCTAGTTTTTTTAACCGACCAACTATGACGTAACCGCTGACTAAGCGAATTATGCCGCAAGAAATTCTGGAAACTTTGCGGAAGTTCGACGTCAACCAACAAAAACACGCAATAGAAGAACTGTATATCACGATACAAGAGAGTGACAATCGTCTGCTCTTATATTTCGTGCATAGGTAGCTTCTATTGTCACGTCTTCTATACCCCAATCAACTTCTTCTCTTCCTCTTATCTGCCCAATTGATCCGTCTCTCGGATTCTTTCCGGATATCCAAGTATCACCAACCTATTAGCCATGACCACCTCTCTTTTCCGGTCAACTGTCGGCGGCATCCTTAGAGTTGGTGCTGCTAGAATGTCAGGGGCTGCAGGAGCCCGCTTGATCACGACTAAAGCAACCCTCCCTGACTTATCATGTAAGTCATGTCCATCAAAAGTATAAGAATAAACATATTACAAAACATTATATGCATTCGTCCATCTATTCTAAACTCAAACCTAGACGATTACGGTGCCCTCGAACCCTCCATCTCTGGCAAGATCATGGAACTCCACCACAAAAAGCACCACCAAACCTACGTAAACTCCTACAATGATGCCGTCGAGAAGCTGGCCGCCGCGCAGGAGAAGGCCGATATCAAATCCCAGGTGGCTTTTCAAGCCCTGACCAATTTCCACGGCGGTGGCCACGTCAATCACACCCTCTTCTGGGAGAACTTGGCTCCCAAGAGCGCTGGAGGCGGCGAGCCGCCTGCCGGTTCCCTGGGGAAGGCCGTTGATGATGCCTTTGGCAGCTATGATAGGTTCAAGTCTACGTTTAACACCGCGCTGGCGGGGATCCAGGGGAGCGGGTGGGCGTGGTTGGTTGAAGATAAGCAGACTGGGAAGATTGCAATTAAGACTTATGCTGTAAGTAAACGCCATGTATTTATTCATCGGAACATTTTAAATTATGGGCCTTTGCTAACGAATTGCTTCCATTCAATACATAGAACCAAGACCCCGTCATTGGTCAATTCAAGCCCCTCTTGGGCATTGATGCTTGGGAACATGCCTACTAGTTAGTTTCGCTTCACTCACCTTTCCCAACATAGAAGACTAACCAAAACACTATCCAGTCTCCAATACGAAAACCGCAAAGCAGAATACTTCAATGCCATCTGGAACGTTGTGAACTGGAAGGCTGCTGAGAAGCGATTCGCTTAAGCAAGAAAACTACCACTCTCTCGAGCCCCCCTCCTAACCCTTCCAGTTAAATGTGCGAACGAACGAATTTGCACGCAAATGTGTCCACATCTTTAGCTCACAGCAGTTACCCACGCCTCCGCACATCATACCCCCCTACTTCTGCAATAATTGCTAAACGACTGTATAATGTTCATTGTTCTCCCCAACGCCCGCAAGCACTTTTCTCCAGGGTTGAGGGGTTTCTTTCATAGTTTATGCATACGTGCATACGTATCTATATGTATACAAGATGAAAACTCCTGCACCCCTTTCTTTGCCTATGAAAGGCCGGATGAACCTTGTTTAATAAAAAAAAGAGGGTCCATAAAAAGAGGAACTTGATTTTCAACAAATTTATTATTATTCCATTTTACGACGTGTCTCATTGCTCGAATGGTAGCCCACTCAGTGACAAAAGAGTAATTGAATTGATAACGCAAAATCGAAAACAAATGAGTAAACTAAATGCAACACCATTGCAATCCAGGCAGACAGTTAAACAAGCAATAAAAATAATCAAAAACACAGTATTTTCATTCTCTTTTGGTAGCAAAACGCCCTCGATTTCAAATTACCTTTTCTCCCTTGAACACGTCCATATCCTGCCATTAATAATAATAAAAAAAAGAAAAATAAAAAAAAACACGTCAAACAACCCGGAAAAGTGACAATGAAAAAATAGAGCTTTGCCAGATTTCCCCAAACGTATTGTAGTAGTCAGCTAATCATCTAACATCGTTATAAAAGCATGACGTCACGATGAAGGAAAGGCGAGCAAAAAGGAGAGGTGTCAGTAGCCATAAAATAAAATGAAGCATAACGAATAAAAGATCTTGTCGTGAACCGTTTCGTGTTTAGTCCTGGATTGCGTGAAAAGTACATGTACATAAAATTCCATTAACCCAGGGGTTTGGAATGGAAGGGGGGTTAACAGAACAGCCTTGAAGCTATACAGCCATAAAAGAAATCGATGACCATGGTGTTACAAAAGAAAGAAAAGAAAGAACGCCGCCACCACCACTACCGAAAAAAAAATAATAATAATAATTAAAAGAAATAAAAATAACAGGAAAAATTCATCAGTTGACTGCATTCGGCTCCCTTCCACCCAGCAGCAAAGGTCTCGGAACTGGCGAAAATAATTACACCTTCCGCAACGCCCGACGATGCGAAAACCTCGAGGGCCTCTGCTCCATCACACTGTTATCCTGCACAGATACAATGGCCGGATCCTTTAACGACGCGACATCGTATAGTTCAACGCCATTACTGGCCGGGTAAGTCGTCACAGAAACAGTGCAGCCAGGAGACTTTGCAGGTTTCTGGTTTTGATTCAGGCTTTTGTTCCGTCTATGCTTCAAGGCGCTGCTCACTATTGCGGGCGATGTCGGCGTGGGCATCTGCGCTTGTCTCGCCATCTGCTGCGTGGGGGTTGGCGAATCTCGTACGGGCGTGTTATTGTGTGAAAAGGTGGAATTGGTGCAGCCAGCAGCGGCAGTGACAGTCCCACCTCTCCCAGTCATCCACCCAAACAAGCCCAAGGATGTCGGGCGTCGTTTCGTAGGCTCACTAGGTGCCTCTGGTGTCGATGAGGAGGTGTACGGACGACCACCAGTTCCGCTTCTGCCCGCCACGTTACGTGATGCCATAGACGCAGAGGCCCCGGTCTCGGTATCATTATTACTGCTACCATTATGCCCCAGGCTCGACGCAGCTCTGCCTAGTGACAGTGGCAGAATGGAGAGATCCACATTAATACTTGTCTGACGACCGGTGCTCATGCGTCTCCTTCTCCCGATCTGGGGGAATGGGGCGCCGGCTTTGTCGCCAATGGCATCGGATGAGGTGGGTGTGTTTCCCTGTTGGGAGGCGGCGATTGTGCGGCTGAAGAAGCGGGGACGGAGACTGAGGCGGCGGCGGAGGGTGAGGTTGAGGTTTTGTGGTGGTTGTGGTGGCGGTTGCGGTTGGGATTGTTGGAGGTTCTGGTTAGGGGTATTATTATTCCTCTCACAAACGCGGACGCGGAGGTTTTTCAGAGTCGGCAGCTGTGGTTCGTTTTCGTCATTGTCACTGTCATCGTCAGGATCATCAGATGAAAGCTTCAACGTGTGCTGGCTGGTGTCCATCCCGTCCATCTGGAGAGGGTGTCTTTTGTTTGCGTGTATACGACATTTCACATGAGCAGCTGGCCGTGCCGCCTCCAGCCAATCCTGCGGAGTTAGCAGTGGTGAACTCGCGCCATAATAATTATCATCCTCATCACCCTCATTGTCATCATGCCCATCAGCACATCGTGGTTTGGAATGTGTCGATTTCAATGAGACAGGGTATCTATTCCTCTTTGGTGAGGCACCATTATCGTCTCCAACTGTAGTGACATTCCCGTCTTTGTGTTTGCGACTAGCATACTCATAACCCCCACCTCCTAAATTCCCATGAACAAAAAGCCTCGAAGGATCCGATTCCCCCGCACCATGCCCATAGGCCGGGAACATACTTGAAAGTTGATCGCGACTCGGGTTATTGCCAAGCCGTGTCGCATTGCTTAATGTCTCCATCGTTCCCGATAATGCCGTGGTAGCCGTACTAGGCCTTGTGGTGATATCATCCGCAGATCGTGGCCTTCGCAAGCCTGCATGACCAATTGATGAAAAGTTAGCCAAAATGGGGCCCTGGTCAAGCAAACTCTTTTCCGCAATGATGCTAGAGTTAGACCCGTTCCTGGCATCTGCGTTCGACGTGCTCATTGTGTCAGGAGTAGGAGGCAATGTGGTGCCGTTAAAAATCGGGCCGTCCAAGACTGGGGTGTCAAATTTATACGCCTTGACTGGGCGCTTTGCTTGGAAAGCAGTTCCGAGGAATGGCTGCTTCTTTGATGAAGCGGCACTTGAAGTATTATCGGCAGCTGTATAGCTGGGTCTCTTGGGCCCCAATGCAGAGATGAACAGGTTTTTTTCCTGAGGCTGAATCCATTGGTCGATTCGCGACAATTTACTATTCTTATTTTGTTCCTCCCCTGTCCCCAAAGGAGACAGCTCCAGTTTGGAAATAGGCTGCGTAAAACTCCTTGCAGGCGGTCCAATGCTTGCCATGTCAGCAATAGATAGCTTTGACGGAGTGGCTGAGGGGTTCAGGTAGCTGCATTCGCTGAGGATGCTTAGTCTAGGGGATTCAGGTTCCGGCAGCTCATCTCCAGAGAGGATACTTCCAGCCCTCGAGGCAGAACTGAATCCATTGCGCGACACATCCTCTTCCGTAATATAAAGACTGCGGAGAGCGCTCGTGCTCTCACTACTCTCGCGGAGGAAGGATGGGTGTCGTCGGGGTCTGTGCGCCGATGAACTAGTTGTTTCCACCCGGGATCTTAGAGAACGAGCGGAGCTAGTACCTTTCCATGATGAGGTACGATCAGGAATATCAAAGATCAATGTGCTTTTCGGGGTTATTGCGGGAGATACTGCCAGGCCTTCACTGGTATGAGGGCGGGCGGTT